CCCAGGGCACTGCTACCTGGGGAGGAGGTGGTGGCTTCTCACTTGGCTGGAGAGACATCGGGCTGGGCTGGATCACGAAGAACATCAACGGCTGCCCACACAGACCCCAGAGGCAGTCCGGGGCACCCAGAAGGTGGGGGCGCCCAAAGGAGCGGCTGCAGCCAAGGGTGGCATGCTCTCCTGTGTCTGAGAGGGGCCAAGGGGAGGAGAGGTGCTGTGGACAGCGGGTGGGGCCCTTCGGTCCTCTGGAGCAGGAGCGGTCGTGGCCGATGCGCCGCCTGGTCCTCGGGCCCGGACATTGCCAGGCCCCCTTGCGCTCTGCTGGGGGTGCCGAGCTCTTCGGTTTTGAAACCATATCTAGGGGAGCAAAAGGCAGACAGGCACATCAGAAGCCGTGACCGTCCAGATCAACGTGCTGGCGCCTCCGCGGCACCCATTTGTCACCCCGCCTGGCAGCCCGTCCTCTGATCTGGCAGGCCCAGGGCGAGTTCTGCAGGGCCATTTTCTGCAAACGAATCCCTGGGCCCTGGGAGATGAGGAGCGCCTGCACGGCAACAAGCGGCACAAAACCCACCACTCAGCCCACCAACTTTCGGCCCCCTCCCCCCAGCCCAAGCCCCGGCCCAAGCCGACGTGTATCCAGCTCCAAACGCTTGGCAGGGCTGAACGCGCCCGTCTCCTGGGCCACGGCCTGGGCCCATGCGCTGGCTGGAGAACTTACCTGGATTCGAGGTTCTGGGATTCCCGTCTGACGAGCCAGTTCTTCCCTGGCGGCAATCCCTGGAAAGCGATCCCTCGTGAAGGCTTGCACAAGGATCCTTGTTTGAGAAGGAGAGATGGCTGTCCTCTTTCTCCTGGCCTCTCTGGCCGAGTCTTCTACCAAGGAAAGAACACACCGAGAGGAGAGGACTTTAAGGCCCATGGAACCTTGACAGCACAGATACCCTGGACGGTGTGCAGGGGCTGGACAGTCCCACACACCTGAATCACTTCAGGTGGCTCTGAAGCCGGGGCAGGGTTCTACGGAATACACCCACAGATGGATCTCGTGCCTGGATCCATGGTGCAGGTGTGCGTGCACACATGCACACTCGGCACACATGCATGCCCCTGTGTGTCTCTTTGTTCCTCCGGACTTGCCGCGGAGTGCCCTGAAGCCTGCTCCTTGGCCAAGGTTGCCTGGGCAGCCGGAGGCTAAAGTTCCTGACGGGGACTCGGGAGGGGGTGCAAAGGGGGAACAGTGCTGCCCGTCCACGCCGCCTGGGGGCATGGTGGCCCTATCTGGGTCGCTGATGGGGGACGCAACCAGATGGCCCTGTTTCCTCCCTGCTTGGTGTTTCTGAGCCTCCGGTGGTCATCCACCAGCAGAGAGAATTCTCTGTCAAGAGGGGGAGGATTCGGGACCCCTCTCTGGGGGTCTTGCCTTTGCAGAACGCTGGGTAACTTACCTTGAGTGGAAGACTGAGGTCGACGAGGTGTCGACGGTGGCCTGGCCGTGGACCCTGGCGCCCCTTCCCCGTCTTGGCGCATATTTGCAGACGGCGATCGGCTCTGCTTTAACCGTCTTCTTCGTTGGTTCTGAAACCAGACCTAGGGGCAAACAGAGAGAATACGTTCTCAAGAGAAAGGCCTCCGGGTGCTTTCTGCTGACGCGGATCGGCACGGGGAGCCTGAGAGGGAGAACGGGTGGAGAGAGGGGGCCCTACCTGAACTCTGCTTTCGGCAATGCCAAGCTCTCGGGCCAGTCGTTCTCTGGTCGCTATCCCAGGGTAGGGGTTCTGTTGAAAGAGCGCTTGCAGGGTGTCCTTCTGGCTCAGCTTCAGAACGAGCCTCCTCCTTCGAGATCCTCTGGCGATGGGGCCTGTGGAAGAGACGAAAGGGAAAAGTCTCAGAGGACGTGGGGTTTGGAGAGGACTCGACGGAAGTGCCCAAGCATGCTCCCCACCCAGGGCAGTTGCCCCTGTGCCTCAGCAAAGCCGGGAGCCCGGGGACGCCTCTGCATTTGGAAGTCACTTGACTACACCCCGAGTGACAGGCCGAGAGTCAAGGGCAGTGGGGAAATCCCCCAACCCCCGACCCACGCTGGAGTCCGAGGAACACCAGCAAGCAGAAAGGAAGCCAAACCCGCCCCTGAAACAAAGCTGGCAAGAAATCCCACCCACCAAAGACCAGCACACCATGCAGCCTGTCTGCAGAGACATTTTTCCACCTGCCTCAGCAGATGCCTGGGAAATGTCTTGATGGGGCCTCTCCCAAAATTCCCTCCATCACAATGCCAATGGAGGGGAACCTGGCTTCTCGGGGCTAAGAGGAGCCCAGGCCATATTTGCCGTCACTAGGGGAACAGGAAAGGAAGAGGGAAGGAAGCCAAGGCGAAGCCCAACATGCAACGCCTGACGGAAGACAGAAGGCACTAGGCCATTGTGGACAGAAAGCCACTGAAGTTGGCAAAGCCACAGAGCTCCCCGACGTCCATTTCCATGGCAAGATGAGGAAATAGGGCCCCATGCCAGTTCCCCTACCGGCCCCCCTAACACACAACCAACACCATCATCACAGAAAAGAGAAAGGAGAAGCCATGTGTGTGCCAAAGGAGCCAAACGACCAAACGGTGCCTCTCTGGGCACACCTGACGCCTGGAAACCAGGGGCCCAGCCGATCGGTCCCTGGCTTTCTTGGCGGTCAGTCGACACGTTTGCAGTGAACCCTTGGCCGGGCTATCCACAGACCCACCCCCCACCCCCACCCCGAGACCTGATCCGACCCCAGGGAGCGAGGGCAAACGTACCGCCTGAGGTGCTGGAGGAGCTGGACGAAGCCATGGTGGGAGAGCCACAGGGACGCTGCAGACTGCCTTCTCAGTGGGCCAGGACCCAGCTGCTCGGGACTTTGGATAGGGTGAGGCAGCTCCGCCCCTATTCACGTCAATCGTGGTGGGTGCTTAGTCAGAGGGGACGCCCCTGGCCTCCAAGCAGAGACCCTGGAAAGAATCCCGTGGAGCCAGTGGGCTTTCACGGGCACGGCCCGCGACCCAGACTCCCAAGGTCCACGTTGGCCTGGGGGCGGTGGGCGTTGGGGGTTTTGGTGTGTGGCCCTGCCACGCAGCAGCTGGAATCAACCCCAGGCTCGGGGGCCCTCCGCAGTGCACAGAGTCCTAACTGCACGGGAATTCCCCTAGGTCCCTTTGAAGTTGCCGCCCACGCCCCCTTTCCCAGCCTGCCTTGCCTTCCGAAACGCCCTGGCTTTTCCCGCCTTTTCACATTCCACATATACGTTGGACTCAATGGCCTCCGCCGGCTCCTCCGGAGCATTCCCGGACACTGGACGCTCTCTCCAGTGCCTCCTCCTAGCTGCCTTAAATCCTTGCCTCCCTTTTCCACATTCCTCCCCACCTCCTCGGTGCCCCCCTGGCATCCTTTCCCGACAGCAGTCCCAGTCCACCGCCCTGCCCACACCCACCCCACGCCCACCCCCACCAAATACACCCAAGTCTTTGACTTGCCAGAAACCCAAGTCTACTGCGAGAGAAGTGATGGGCCAGTGTCTCGAATGGCAACTCACACCGTTTGGGGCTTTTTCAGGTGCACCCTGATGCTTGCACCTCCCCAGCCCACCCCCTACTCAAAGTGCCCTGGGGAGACCTCGGAAACGGGACACTGTACCCACTACTCTTAGGAAGGTGGTTCCACTAAGCCAAGGAAGGAAGCATGCACGTTCTGGACGGAGAGGCGCCCTGACCTGTGCCAACAACTGGACGTGGAAATAGTGTGTGCTTTCTTAAAGAAACGGAGGGCAGAGAGGAGAAGGAGGAGGGAATCAGGAGGCAGGAGCAGACACAGGAGGGAGGAGGTTGCATGAGGCCACACGGGGGATGGCTCTGAACAGGTTCCAATGAATTGAAAAGAAATGAACGAACCACAACACCACACCCACAGCCATCTTTCCCAATGGATTCTTTGGCCACGCAGGTCTCTAAAGCCAACCACGGGGGCTTCACATGGGAACAGTCAGGGGGTTGTATGTACATCGAATCCACCGTGTCTATGAATTCAGGAACGGGTTTGCAAGGAAATCATGCCTGTATGTCTGCGGGTGATGCGGGGATGCTGGTGGCAGGGCGAGCTGAGTCACTACACCGTGAGGATCAGAGAGACACACGGAGATGATTGGCCTTTGCAGCTCTACCAGGCATGTGTGTTGACATGGAGTCTGGTCGTGAAAGCGGTTGTGTGGGTAGGTCCCTACTGCTGGCTCAGAGGATCTGACCTCGGGAAACCCGCCCAGACCAGGCACCCCGAAACCGAGGGAAGCATGTCCCTGACGGAGTATTTTAGGGATACCTGCAGGGATGGCCAGTGGCTAGAAGCTGAGTCCCAGACGGGGGCCCCGCCCCCCTCCCCCAAACGCCCTCTCCCTCCCTCCGTCCCCAAATCTCTCTGTCTCCTTCTCTTCTCTTCCTCCCTCCCTCTCCCACTGAGCCTTCCCCAAGCCTCTCCCTTCTCCCCCACCCTCTCCCTCCATCCACTCGCCCCCTCCCACCTTGCGTTTCCCAGCCTTCTACCTTCCCACTGCTCTATCTCCCACTCCCACTCGCTCGGCTGCCCCTGGCCTAGGGAAGGAGTGCTCCTGTGTGGACTGCTGGAAAGACGCAACCAGAACACAGATGAGTCAGACCAAAAGAACCTGTGCAGAGCACAGGGTTTCTTTATTGGCTCCACAGCATGTCCGTTCTTAGCCACCGTCTTGGTCACTGGAATCCTGCGATTCCTTGAGGCTTCAGGTGGTCTGTGCCTCTTGGAGGGGGCCCATGCTTCCCAAAGGTCCAGCTCTAGTGTATGTCCCCAAAGTTGCTGGTAGTCATCCCGTCTGTTTGCTCCCCACCGCCCCCCCCTCCCCCACCTAAAATCTTCCCTACTCCACGACCTCTGTGGCTTGGCCTCTGAAGCAAGGAGACCTGAAAGGGGCTCAGGGGAGATGGTGCCCCTTTCCTTCTTCTTCCTCTAAGCCCGAGGGCCTGGGGAGCCTGGCAGCATGTCCAGGAGTGCCTGGTAATCCTCCTCTCTGAGGGGTGCCTCCAGGATTGCCTCAACTCCTTCTTCGTCCGCAGCGGCCCGCGGTGAAGACCAGGGCGTGTCCTGGATGGACGAGGCAGCCATGATTTCCTCTAGGAGGCTGGGAGACCCGGGGAGGGCTGGATGGTACCCTGGGATGACAGGAGAGGACCCCAGGGAAGGACCCGGCGAGCCCGGGATGCATGTGACGGCCAGGAGCTCATCTTGGAGGCTGGGTGAGCCTGGGAGGGCGAGGTGTGCTCCTGCATCTGCATAGGGCCCCAGGGAAGGCGCCTGCGAGGCCGCAATATCCGTGGCCTCCAAGAGCTGGCCTAGAAAGCTGGGTGTGCCTGGCAGGGCAGGGTGTGCTCCTGCATCTGCAGCGGCCCCAGGGGAAGGCGCCTGCGAGGACCCGAGGCCCGTGGCCTCCAAGAGCTCGTCTAGGAAGCTGGGTGGGTCTGGCAGGGCAGGGTGCACTCCTGCATCTGCACCGGGCTCCGGGGAAGGCGCCTGAGAGTCCTCGATGCCCGTGGCATCCAAGAGCTCGTCTAGGAAGCTGGTTGCAACTGGCAGGGCAGGGTGCGCTCCTGCATCTGCAGCGGCCCCCGGGGAAGGTGCCTGCCAGTCTGCGATGCCCGTGGCTTCCAAGAGCTCGTCAAGGAAGCTGGGTGCGTCTGGCAGGGCAGGGTGCACTTCTGAATCTGCAGCAGCCCCCGGGGAAGGCGCCTGCGTGTCCGGGATGCCTGTGGCCTCCACGAACTCTTCTAGGATGCTGGCTGTGCCTGGGAGGGCAGGGTGTGCTCCTGCATCCGCAGCAGCCCCCGGGGAAGGCGCCTGCCAGTCTGTGATGCCCATGGCCTCCAAGAGCTCGTCTAGGAAGCTGGGTGCGTCTGGCAGGGCAGGGTGCACTCGTGCATCTGCAGCGGCCCCCGGGCAAGGCGCCTGCATGTCCGGGATGCCCGTGGCCTCCACGAACTCTTCTAGGATGCTGGGTTCGCCTGGGAGGGCAGGGTGCACTCGTGCATCTGCAGCGTCCCCCGCGGAAGGCGCCTGCGTTTCCAGGATGCCGGTGGCCGCCAAGAGCTCATCTAGGAGGCTTGTCGATCTTGGAAGGCTGGGTGGATGGGGCTGTGGCTCTAGCAGAGGGGCCGTGCCTTCAGCAACGGGTGACTCTGGCCTCCGCCTGATGTGTGTCTCAGGCTGTAGAGGCGGCAGGATGGCCCCTGGCCCAGGCTGCCAAGGGGCCGTGTCAGCAGGGGAGCACGCGGCCCAGGGCACTGCTACCTGGGGAGGAGGTGGTGGCTTCTCACTTGGCTGGAGAGCCATCGGGCTGGGCTGGATCACGAAGAACATCAACGGCTGGCCCACACAGACCCCAGAGGCAGTCCCGGGCACCCAGAAGGTGGGGGCGCCCAAAGGAGCGGCTGCAGCCAAGGGTGGCATGCTCTCCTGTGTCTGAGAGGGGCCAAGGGGAGGAGAGGTGCTGTGGACAGCGGGTGGGGCCCTTCGGTCCTCTGGAGCAGGAGCGGTCGTGGCCGATGCGCCGCCTGGTCCTCGGGCCCGGACATTGCCAGGCCCCCTTGCGCTCTGCTGGGGGTGCCGAGCTCTTCGGTTTTGAAACCATATCTAGGGGAGCAAAAGGCAGACAGGCACATCAGAAGCCGTGACCGTCCAGATCAACGTGCTGGCGCCTCCGCGGCACCCATTTGTCACCCCGCCTGGCGGCCCGTCCTCTGATCTGGCAGGCCCAGGGCGAGTTCTGCAGGGCCATTTTCTGCAAACGAATCCCTGGGCCCTGGGAGATGAGGGGCGCCTGCACGGCAACAAGCGGCACAAAACCCACCACTCAGCCCACCAACTTTCGGCCCCCTCCCCCCAGCCCAAGCCCCGGCCCAAGCCGACGTGTATCCAGCTCCAAACGCTTGGCAGGGCTGAACGCGCCCGTCTCCTGGGCCACGGCCTGGGCCCATGCGCTGGCTGGAGAACTTACCTGGATTCGAGGTTCTGGGATTCCCGTCTGACGAGCCAGTTCTTCCCTGGCGGCAATCCCTGGAAAGCGATCCCTCGTGAAGGCTTGCACAAGGATCCTTGTTTGAGAAGGAGAGATGGCTGTCCTCTTTCTCCTGGCCTCTCTGGCCGAGTCTTCTACCAAGGAAAGAACACACCGAGAGGAGAGGACTTTAAGGCCCATGGAACCTTGACAGCACAGATACCCTAGACGGTGTGCAGGGGCTGGACAGTCCCACACACCTGAATCACTTCAGGTGGCTCTGAAGCCGGGGCAGGGTTCTACGGAATACACCCACAGATGGATCTCGTGCCTGGATCCATGGTGCAGGTGTGCGTGCACACATGCACACTCGGCACACATGCATGCCCCTGTGTGTCTCTTTGTTCCTCCGGACTTGCCGCGGAGTGCCCTGAAGCCTGCTCCTTGGCCAAGGTTGCCTGGGCAGCCGGAGGCTAAAGTTCCCGACGGGGACTCGGGAGGGGGTGCAAAGGGGGAACAGTGCTGCCCGTCCACGCCGCCTGGGGGCATGGTGGCCCTATCTGGGTCACTGATGGGGGACGCAACCAGATGGCCCTGTTTCCTCCCTGCTTGGTGTTTCTGAGCCTCCGGTGGTCATCCACCAGCAGAGAGAATTCTCTGTCAAGAGGGGGAGGATTCGGGACCCCCCTCTGGGGGTCTTGCCTTTGCAGAACGCTGGGTAACTTACCTTGAGTGGAAGACTGAGGTCGACGAGGTGTCGACGGTGGCCTGGCCGTGGACCCTGGCGCCCCTTCCCCGTCTTGGCGCATATTTGCAGACGGCGATCGGCTCTGCTTTAACCGTCTTCTTCGTTGGTTCTGAAACCAGACCTAGGGGCAAACAGAGAGAATACGTTCTCAAGAGAAAGGCCTCCGGGTGCTTTCTGCTGACGCGGATCGGCACGGGGAGCCTGAGAGGGAGAACGGGTGGAGAGAGGGGGCCCTACCTGAACTCTGCTTTCGGCAATGCCAAGCTCTCGGGCCAGTCGTTCTCTGGTCGCTATCCCAGGGTAGGGGTTCTGTTGAAAGAGCGCTTGCAGGGTGTCCTTCTGGCTCAGCTTCAGAACGAGCCTCCTCCTTCGAGATCCTCTGGCGATGGGGCCTGTGGAAGAGACGAAAGGGAAAAGTCTCAGAGGACGTGGGGTTTGGAGAGGACTCGACGGAAGTGCCCAAGCATGCTCCCCACCCAGGGCAGTTGCCCCTGTGCCTCAGCAAAGCCGGGAGCCCGGGGACGCCTCTGCATTTGGAAGTCACTTGACTACACCCCGAGTGACAGGCCGAGAGTCAAGGGCAGTGGGGAAATCCCCCAACCCCCGACCCACGCTGGAGTCCGAGGAACACCAGCAAGCAGAAAGGAAGCCAAACCCGCCCCTGAAACAAAGCTGGCAAGAAATCCCACCCACCAAAGACCAGCACACCATGCAGCCTGTCTGCAGAGACATTTTTCCACCTGCCTCAGCAGATGCCTGGGAAATGTCTTGATGGGGCCTCTCCCAAAATTCCCTCCATCACAATGCCAATGGAGGGGAACCTGGCTTCTCGGGGCTAAGAGGAGCCCAGGCCATATTTGCCGTCACTAGGGGAACAGGAAAGGAAGAGGGAAGGAAGCCAAGGCGAAGCCCAACATGCAACGCCTGACGGAAGACAGAAGGCACTAGGCCATTGTGGACAGAAAGCCACTGAAGTTGGCAAAGCCACAGAGCTCCCCGACGTCCATTTCCATGGCAAGGTGAGGAAATAGGGCCCCATGCCAGTTCCCCTACCGGCCCCCCTAACACACAACCAACACCATCATCACAGAAAAGAGAAAGGAGAAGCCATGTGTGTGCCAAAGGAGCCAAACGACCAAACGGTGCCTCTCTGGGCACACCTGACGCCTGGAAACCAGGGGCCCAGCCGATCGGTCCCTGGCTTTCTTGGCGGTCAGTCGACACGTTTGCAGTGAACCCTTGGCCGGGCTATCCACAGACCCACCCCCCACCCCCACCCCGAGACCTGATCCGACCCCAGGGAGCGAGGGCAAACGTACCGCCTGAGGTGCTGGAGGAGCTGGACGAAGCCATGGTGGGAGAGCCACAGGGACGCTGCAGACTGCCTTCTCAGTGGGCCAGGACCCAGCTGCTCGGGACTTTGGATAGGGTGAGGCAGCTCCGCCCCTATTCACGTCAATCGTGGTGGGTGCTTAGTCAGAGGGGACGCCCCTGGCCTCCAAGCAGAGACCCTGGAAAGAATCCCGTGGAGCCAGTGGGCTTTCACGGGCACGGCCCGCGACCCAGACTCCCAAGGTCCACGTTGGCCTGGGGGCGGTGGGCGTTGGGGGTTTTGGTGTGTGGCCCTGCCACGCAGCAGCTGGAATCAACCCCAGGCTCGGGGGCCCTCCGCAGTGCACAGAGTCCTAACTGCACGGGAATTCCCCTAGGTCCCTTTGAAGTTGCCGCCCACGCCCCCTTTCCCAGCCTGCCTTGCCTTCCGAAACGCCCTGGCTTTTCCCGCCTTTTCACATTCCACATATACGTTGGACTCAATGGCCTCCGCCGGCTCCTCCGGAGCATTCCCGGACACTGGACGCTCTCTCCAGTGCCTCCTCCTAGCTGCCTTAAATCCTTGCCTCCCTTTTCCACATTCCTCCCCACCTCCTCGGTGCCCCCCTGGCATCCTTTCCCGACAGCAGTCCCAGTCCACCGCCCTGCCCACACCCACCCCACGCCCACCCCCACCAAATACACCCAAGTCTTTGACTTGCCAGAAACCCAAGTCTACTGCGAGAGAAGTGATGGGCCAGTGTCTCGAATGGCAACTCACACCGTTTGGGGCTTTTTCAGGTGCACCCTGATGCTTGCACCTCCCCAGCCCACCCCCTACTCAAAGTGCCCTGGGGAGACCTCGGAAACGGGACACTGTACCCACTACTCTTAGGAAGGTGGTTCCACTAAGCCAAGGAAGGAAGCATGCACGTTCTGGACGGAGAGGCGCCCTGACCTGTGCCAACAACTGGACGTGGAAATAGTGTGTGCTTTCTTAAAGAAACGGAGGGCAGAGAGGAGAAGGAGGAGGGAATCAGGAGGCAGGAGCAGACACAGGAGGGAGGAGGTTGCATGAGGCCACACGGGGGATGGCTCTGAACAGGTTCCAATGAATTGAAAAGAAATGAACGAACCACAACACCACACCCACAGCCATCTTTCCCAATGGATTCTTTGGCCACGCAGGTCTCTAAAGCCAACCACGGGGACTTCACATGGGAACAGTCAGGGGGTTGTATGTACATCGAATCCACCGTGTCTACGAATTCAGGAACGGGTTTGCAAGGAAATCATGCCTGTATGTCTGCGGGTGATGCGGGGATGCTGGTGGCAGGGCGAGCTGAGTCACTACACCGTGAGGATCAGAGAGACACACGGAGATGATTGGCCTTTGCAGCTCTACCAGGCATGTGTGTTGACATGGAGTCTGGTCGTGAAAGCGGTTGTGTGGGTAGGTCCCTACTGCTGGCTCAGAGGATCTGACCTCGGGAAACCCGCCCAGACCAGGCACCCCGAAACCGAGGGAAGCATGTCCCTGACGGAGTATTTTAGGGATACCTGCAGGGATGGCCAGTGGCTAGAAGCTGAGTCCCAGACGGGGGCCCCGCCCCCCTCCCCCAAACGCCCTCTCCCTCCCTCCGTCCCCAAATCTCTCTGTCTCCTTCTCTTCTCTTCCTCCCTCCCTCTCCCACTGAGCCTTCCCCAAGCCTCTCCCTTCTCCCCCACCCTCTCCCTCCATCCACTCGCCCCCTCCCACCTTGCGTTTCCCAGCCTTCTACCTTCCCACTGCTCTATCTCCCACTCCCACTCGCTCGGCTGCCCCTGGCCTAGGGAAGGAGTGCTCCTGTGTGGACTGCTGGAAAGACGCAACCAGAACACAGATGAGTCAGACCAAAAGAACCTGTGCAGAGCACAGGGTTTCTTTATTGGCTCCACAGCATGTCCGTTCTTAGCCACCATCTTGGTCACTGGAATCCTGCGATTCCTTGAGGCTTCAGGTGGTCTGTGCCTCTTGGAGGGGGCCCATGCTTCCCAAAGGTCCAGCTCTAGTGTATGTCCCCAAAGTTGCTGGTAGTCATCCCGTCTGTTTGCTCCCCACCGCCCCCCCCCTCCCCCACCTAAAATCTTCCCTACTCCACGACCTCCGTGGCTTGGCCTCTGAAGCAAGGAGACCTGAAAGGGGCTCAGGGGAGATGGTGCCCCTTTCCTTCTTCTCCCTCTAAGCCCGAGGGCCTGGGGAGCCTGGCAGCATGTCCAGGAGTGCCTGGTAATCCTCCTCTCTGAGGGGTGCCTCCAGGATTGCCTCAACTCCTTCTTCGTCCGCAGCGGCCCGCGGTGAAGACCAGGGCGTGTCCTGGATGGACGAGGCAGCCATGATTTCCTCTAGGAGGCTGGGAGACCCGGGGAGGGCTGGATGGTACCCTGGGATGACAGGAGAGGACCCCAGGGAAGGACCCGGCGAGCCCGGGATGCATGTGACGGCCAGGAGCTCATCTTGGAGGCTGGGTGAGCCTGGGAGGGCGAGGTGTGCTCCTGCATCTGCATAGGGCCCCAGGGAAGGCGCCTGCGAGGCCGCAATATCCGTGGCCTCCAAGAGCTGGCCTAGAAAGCTGGGTGTGCCTGGCAGGGCAGGGTGTGCTCCTGCATCTGCAGCGGCCCCCGGGGAAGGCGCCTGCGAGGACCCGAGGCCCGTGGCCTCCAAGAGCTCGTCTAGGAAGCTGGGTGGGTCTGGCAGGGCAGGGTGCACTCCTGCATCTGCACCGGGCTCCGGGGAAGGCGCCTGAGAGTCCTCGATGCCCGTGGCATCCAAGAGCTCGTCTAGGAAGCTGGTTGCAACTGGCAGGGCAGGGTGCGCTCCTGCATCTGCAGCGGCCCCCGGGGAAGGTGCCTGCCAGTCTGCGATGCCCGTGGCTTCCAAGAGCTCGTCAAGGAAGCTGGGTGCGTCTGGCAGGGCAGGGTGCACTTCTGAATCTGCAGCAGCCCCCGGGGAAGGCGCCTGCGTGTCCGGGATGCCTGTGGCCTCCACGAACTCTTCTAGGATGCTGGCTGTGCCTGGGAGGGCAGGGTGTGCTCCTGCATCCGCAGCAGCCCCCGGGGAAGGCGCCTGCCAGTCTGTGATGCCCATGGCCTCCAAGAGCTCGTCTAGGAAGCTGGGTGCGTCTGGCAGGGCAGGGTGCACTCGTGCATCTGCAGCGGCCCCCGGGCAAGGCGCCTGCATGTCCGGGATGCCCGTGGCCTCCACGAACTCTTCTAGGATGCTGGGTTCGCCTGGGAGGGCAGGGTGCACTCGTGCATCTGCAGCGTCCCCCGCGGAAGGCGCCTGCGTTTCCAGGATGCCGGTGGCCGCCAAGAGCTCATCTAGGAGGCTTGTCGATCTTGGAAGGCTGGGCGGATGGGGCTGTGGCTCTAGCAGAGGGGCCGTGCCTTCAGCAACGGGTGACTCTGGCCTCCGCCTGATGTGTGTCTCAGGCTGTAGAGGCGGCAGGATGGCCCCTGGCCCAGGCTGCCAAGGGGCCGTGTCAGCAGGGGAGCACGCGGCCCAGGGCACTGCTACCTGGGGAGGAGGTGGTGGCTTCTCACTTGGCTGGAGAGCCATCGGGCTGGGCTGGATCACGAAGAACATCAACGGCTGCCCACACAGACCCCAGAGGCAGTCCCGGGCACCCAGAAGGTGGGGGCGCCCAAAGGAGCGGCTGCAGCCAAGGGTGGCATGCTCTCCTGTGTCTGAGAGGGGCCAAGGGGAGGAGAGGTGCTGTGGACAGCGGGTGGGGCCCTTCGGTCCTCTGGAGCAGGAGCGGTCGTGGCCGATGCGCCGCCTGGTCCTCGGGCCCGGACATTGCCAGGCCCCCTTGCGCTCTGCTGGGGGTGCCGAGCTCTTCGGTTTTGAAACCATATCTAGGGGAGCAAAAGGCAGACAGGCACATCAGAAGCCGTGACCGTCCAGATCAACGTGCTGGTGCCTCCGCGGCACCCATTTGTCACCCCGCCTGGCGGCCCGTCCTCTGATCTGGCAGGCCCAGGGCGAGTTCTGCAGGGCCATTTTCTGCAAACGAATCCCTGGGCCCTGGGAGATGAGGAGCGCCTGCACGGCAACAAGCGGCACAAAACCCACCACTCAGCCCACCAACTTTCGGCCCCCTCCCCCCAGCCCAAGCCCCGGCCCAAGCCGACGTGTATCCAGCTCCAAACGCTTGGCAGGGCTGAACGCGCCCGTCTCCTGGGCCACGGCCTGGGCCCATGCGCTGGCTGGAGAACTTACCTGGATTCGAGGTTCTGGGATTCCCGTCTGACGAGCCAGTTCTTCCCTGGCGGCAATCCCTGGAAAGCGATCCCTCGTGAAGGCTTGCACAAGGATCCTTGTTTGAGAAGGAGAGATGGCTGTCCTCTTTCTCCTGGCCTCTCTGGCCGAGTCTTCTACCAAGGAAAGAACACACCGAGAGGAGAGGACTTTAAGGCCCATGGAACCTTGACAGCACAGATACCCTAGACGGTGTGCAGGGGCTGGAGAGTCCCACACACCTGAATCACTTCAGGTGGCTCTGAAGCCGGGGCAGGGTTCTACGGAATACACCCACAGATGGATCTCGTGCCTGGATCCATGGTGCAGGTGTGCGTGCACACATGCACACTCGGCACACATGCATGCCCCTGTGTGTCTCTTTGTTCCTCCGGACTTGCCGCGGAGTGCCCTGAAGCCTGCTCCTTGGCCAAGGTTGCCTGGGCAGCCGGAGGCTAAAGTTCCCGACGGGGACTCGGGAGGGGGTGCAAAGGGGGAACAGTGCTGCCCGTCCACGCCGCCTGGGGGCATGGTGGCCCTATCTGGGTCGCTGATGGGGGACGCAACCAGATGGCCCTGTTTCCTCCCTGCTTGGTGTTTCTGAGCCTCCGGTGGTCATCCACCAGCAGAGAGAATTCTCTGTCAAGAGGGGGAGGATTCGGGACCCCCCTCTGGGGGTCTTGCCTTTGCAGAACGCTGGGTAACTTACCTTGAGTGGAAGACTGAGGTCGACGAGGTGTCGACGGTGGCCTGGCCGTGGACCCTGGCGCCCCTTCCCCGTCTTGGCGCATATTTGCAGACGGCGATCGGCTCTGCTTTAACCGTCTTCTTCGTTGGTTCTGAAACCAGACCTAGGGGCAAACAGAGAGAATACGTTCTCAAGAGAAAGGCCTCCGGGTGCTTTCTGCTGACGCGGATCGGCACGGGGAGCCTGAGAGGGAGAACGGGTGGAGAGAGGGGGCCCTACCTGAACTCTGCTTTCGGCAATGCCAAGCTCTCGGGCCAGTCGTTCTCTGGTCGCTATCCCAGGGTAGGGGTTCTGTTGAAAGAGCGCTTGCAGGGTGTCCTTCTGGCTCAGCTTCAGAACGAGCCTCCTCCTTCGAGATCCTCTGGCGATGGGGCCTGTGGAAGAGACGAAAGGGAAAAGTCTCAGAGGACGTGGGGTTTGGAGAGGACTCGACGGAAGTGCCCAAGCATGCTCCCCACCCAGGGCAGTTGCCCCTGTGCCTCAGCAAAGCCGGGAGCCCGGGGACGCCTCTGCATTTGGAAGTCACTTGACTACACCCCGAGTGACAGGCCGAGAGTCAAGGGCAGTGGGGAAATCCCCCAACCTCCGACCCACGCTGGAGTCCGAGGAACACCAGCAAGCAGAAAGGAAGCCAAACCCGCCCCTGAAACAAAGCTGGCAAGAAATCCCACCCACCAAAGACCAGCACACCATGCAGCCTGTCTGCAGAGACATTTTTCCACCTGCCTGAGCAGATGCCTGGGAAATGTCTTGATGGGGCCTCTCCCAAAATTCCCTCCATCACAATGCCAATGGAGGGGAACCTGGCTTCTCGGGGCTAAGAGGAGCCCAGGCCATATTTGCCGTCACTAGGGGAACAGGAAAGGAAGAGGGAAGGAAGCCAAGGCGAAGCCCAACATGCAACGCCTGACGGAAGACAGAAGGCACTAGGCCATTGTGGACAGAAAGCCACTGAAGTTGGCAAAGCCACAGAGCTCCCCGACGTCCATTTCCATGGCAAGATGAGGAAATAGGGCCCCATGCCAGTTCCCCTACCGGCCCCCCTAACACACAACCAACACCATCATCACAGAAAAGAGAAAGGAGAAGCCATGTGTGTGCCAAAGGAGCCAAACGACCAAACGGTGCCTCTCTGGGCACACCTGACGCCTGGAAACCAGGGGCCCAGCCGATCGGTCCCTGGCTTTCTTGGCGGTCAGTCGACACGTTTGCAGTGAACCCTTGGCCGGGCTATCCACAGACCCACCCCCCACCCCCACCCCGAGACCTGATCCGACCCCAGGGAGCGAGGGCAAACGTACCGCCTGAGGTGCTGGAGGAGCTGGACGAAGCCATGGTGGGAGAGCCACAGGGACGCTGCAGACTGCCTTCTCAGTGGGCCAGGACCCAGCTGCTCGGGACTTTGGATAGGGTGAGGCAGCTCCGCCCCTATTCACGTCAATCGTGGTGGGTGCTTAGTCAGAGGGGACGCCCCTGGCCTCCAAGCAGAGACCCTGGAAAGAATCCCGTGGAGCCAGTGGGCTTTCACGGGCACGGCCCGCGACCCAGACTCCCAAGGTCCACGTTGGCCTGGGGGCGGTGGGCGTTGGGGGTTTTGGTGTGTGGCCCTGCCACGCAGCAGCTGGAATCAACCCCAGGCTCGGGGGCCCTCCGCAGTGCACAGAGTCCTAACTGCACGGGAATTCCCCTAGGTCCCTTTGAAGTTGCCGCCCACGCCCCCTTTCCCAGCCTGCCTTGCCTTCCGAAACGCCCTGGCTTTTCCCGCCTTTTCACATTCCACATATACGTTGGACTCAATGGCCTCCGCCGGCTCCTCCGGAGCATTCCCGGACACTGGACGCTCTCTCCAGTGCCTCCTCCTAGCTGCCTTAAATCCTTGCCTCCCTTTTCCACATTCCTCCCCACCTCCTCGGTGCCCCCCTGGCATCCTTTCCCGACAGCAGTCCCAGTCCACCGCCCTGCCCACACCCACCCCACGCCCACCCCCACCAAATACACCCAAGTCTTTGACTTGCCAGAAACCCAAGTCTACTGCGAGAGAAGTGATGGGCCAGTGTCTCGAATGGCAACTCACACCGTTTGGGGCTTTTTCAGGTGCACCCTGATGCTTGCACCTCCCCAGCCCACCCCCTACTCAAAGTGCCCTGGGGAGACCTCGGAAACGGGACACTGTACCCACTACTCTTAGGAAGGTGGTTCCACTAAGCCAAGGAAGGAAGCATGCACGTTCTGGACGGAGAGGCGCCCTGACCTGTGCCAACAACTGGACGTGGAAATAGTGTGTGCTTTCTTAAAGAAACGGAGGGCAGAGAGGAGAAGGAGGAGGGAATCAGGAGGCAGGAGCAGACACAGGAGGGAGGAGGTTGCATGAGGCCACACGGGGGATGGCTCTGAACAGGTTCCAATGAATTGAAAAGAAATGAACGAACCACAACACCACACCCACAGCCATCTTTCCCAATGGATTCTTTGGCCACGCAGGTCTCTAAAGCCAACCACGGGGGCTTCACATGGGAACAGTCAGGGGGTTGTATGTACATCGAATCCACCGTGTCTATGAATTCAGGAACGGGTTTGCAAGGAAATCATGCCTGTATGTCTGCGGGTGATGCGGGGATGCTGGTGGCAGGGCGAGCTGAGTCACTACACCGTGAGGATCAGAGAGACACACGGAGATGATTGGCCTTTGCAGCTCTACCAGGCATGTGTGTTGACATGGAGTCTGGTCGTGAAAGCGGTTGTGTGGGTAGGTCCCTACTGCTGGCTCAGAGGATCTGACCTCGGGAAACCCGCCCAGACCAGGCACCCCGAAACCGAGGGAAGCATGTCCCTGACGGAGTATTTTAGGGATACCTGCAGGGATGGCCAGTGGCTAGAAGCTGAGTCCCAGACGGGGGCCCCGCCCCCCTCCCCCAAACGCCCTCTCCCTCCCTCCGTCCCCAAATCTCTCTGTCTCCTTCTCTTCTCTTCCTCCCTCCCTCTCCCACTGAGCCTTCCCCAAGCCTCTCCCTTCTCCCCCACCCTCTCCCTCCATCCACTCGCCCCCTCCCACCTTGCGTTTCCCAGCCTTCTACCTTCCCACTGCTCTATCTCCCACTCCCACTCGCTCGGCTGCCCCTGGCCTAGGGAAGGAGTGCTCCTGTGTGGACTGCTGGAAAGACGCAACCAGAACACAGATGAGTCAGACCAAAAGAACCTGTGCAGAGCACAGGGTTTCTTTATTGGCTCCACAGCATGTCCGTTCTTAGCCACCGTCTTGGTCACTGGAATCCTGCGATTCCTTGAGGCTTCAGGTGGTCTGTGCCTCTTGGAGGGGGCCCATGCTTCCCAAAGGTCCAGCTCTAGTGTATGTCCCCAAAGTTGCTGGTAGTCATCCCGTCTGTTTGCTCCCCACCGCCCCCCCTCCCCCACCTAAAATCTTCCCTACTCCACGACCTCCGTGGCTTGGCCTCTGAAGCAAGGAGACCTGAAAGGGGCTCAGGGGAGATGGTGCCCCTTTCCTTCTTCTCCCTCTAAGCCCGAGGGCCTGGGGAGCCTGGCAGCATGTCCAGGAGTGCCTGGTAATCCTCCTCTCTGAGGGGTGCCTCCAGGATTGCCTCAACTCCTTCTTCGTCCGCAGCGGCCCGCGGTGAAGACCAGGGCGTGTCCTGGATGGACGAGGCAGCCATGATTTCCTCTAGGAGGCTGGGAGACCCGGGGAGGGCTGGATGGTACCCTGGGATGACAGGAGAGGACCCCAGGGAAGGACCCGGCGAGCCCGGGATGCATGTGACGGCCAGGAGCTCATCTTGGAGGCTGGGTGAGCCTGGGAGGGCGAGGTGTGCTCCTGCATCTGCATAGGGCCCCAGGGAAGGCGCCTGCGAGGCCGCAATATCCGTGGCCTCCAAGAGCTGGCCTAGAAAGCTGGGTGTGCCTGGCAGGGCAGGGTGTGCTCCTGCATCTGCAGCGGCCCCCGGGGAAGGCGCCTGCGAGGACCCGAGGCCCGTGGCCTCCAAGAGCTCGTCTAGGAAGCTGGGTGGGTCTGGCAGGGCAGGGTGCACTCCTGCATCTGCACCGGGCTCCGGGGAAGGCGCCTGAGAGTCCTCGATGCCCGTGGCATCCAAGAGCTCGTCTAGGAAGCTGGTTGCAACTGGCAGGGCAGGGTGCGCTCCTGCATCTGCAGCGGCCCCCGGGGAAGGTGCCTGCCAGTCTGCGATGCCCGTGGCTTCCAAGAGCTCGTCAAGGAAGCTGGGTGCGTCTGGCAGGGCAGGGTGCACTTCTGAATCTGCAGCAGCCCCCGGGGAAGGCGCCTGCGTGTCCGGGATGCCTGTGGCCTCCACGAACTCTTCTAGGATGCTGGCTGTGCCTGGGAGGGCAGGGTGTGCTCCTGCATCCGCAGCAGCCCCCGGGGAAGGCGCCTGCCAGTCTGTGATGCCCATGGCCTCCAAGAGCTCGTCTAGGAAGCTGGTGCGTCTGGCAGGGCAGGGTGCACTCGTGCATCTGCAGCGGCCCCCGGGCAAGGCGCCTGCATGTCCGGGATGCCCGTGGCCTCCACGAACTCTTCTAGGATGCTGGGTTCGCCTGGGAGGGCAGGGTGCACTCGTGCATCTGCAGCGTCCCCCGCGGAAGGCGCCTGCGTTTCCAGGATGCCGGTGGCCGCCAAGAGCTCATCTAGGAGGCTTGTCGATCTTGGAAGGCTGGGCGGATGGGGCTGTGGCTCCAGCAGAGGGGCCGTGCCTTCAGCAACGGGTGACTCTGGCCTCCGCCTGATGTGTGTCTCAGGCTGTAGAGGCGGCAGGATGGCCCCTGGCCCAGGCTGCCAAGGGGCCGTGTCAGCAGGGGAGCACGCGGCCCAGGGCACTGCTACCTGGGGAGGAGATGGTGGCTTCTCACTTGGCTGGAGAGACATCGGGCTGGGCTGGATCACGAAGAACATCAACGGCTGGCCCACACAGACCCCAGAGGCAGTCCCGGGCACCCAGAAGGTGGGGGCGCCCAAAGGAGCGGCTGCAGCCAAGGGTGGCATGCTCTCCTGTGTCTGAGAGGGGCCAAGGGGAGGAGAGGTGCTGTGGACAGCGGGTGGGGCCCTTCGGTCCTCTGGAGCAGGAGCGGTCGTGGCCGATGCGCCGCCTGGTCCTCGGGCCCGGACATTGCCAGGCCCCCTTGCGCTCTGCTGGGGGTGCCGAGCTCTTCGGTTTTGAAACCATATCTAGGGGAGCAAAAGGCAGACAGGCACATCAGAAGCCGTGACCGTCCAGATCAACGTGCTGGCGCCTCCGCGGCACCCATTTGTCACCCCGCCTGGCGGCCCGTCCTCTGATCTGGCAGGCCCAGGGCGAGTTCTGCAGGGCCATTTTCTGCAAACGAATCCCTGGGCCCTGGGAGATGAGGAGCGCCTGCACGGCAACAAGCGGCACAAAACCCACCACTCAGCCCACCAACTTTCGGCCCCCTCCCCCCAGCCCAAGCCCCGGCCCAAGCCGACGTGTATCCAGCTCCAAACGCTTGGCAGGGCTGAACGCGCCCGTCTCCTGGGCCACGGCCTGGGCCCATGCGCTGGCTGGAGAACTTACCTGGATTCGAGGTTCTGGGATTCCCGTCTGACGAGCCAGTTCTTCCCTGGCGGCAATCCCTGGAAAGCGATCCCTCGTGAAGGCTTGCACAAGGATCCTTGTTTGAGAAGGAGAGATGGCTGTCCTCTTTCTCCTGGCCTCTCTGGCCGAGTCTTCTACCAAGGAAAGAACACACCGAGAGGAGAGGACTTTAAGGCCCATGGAACCTTGACAGCACAGATACCCTGGACGGTGTGCAGGGGCTAGACAGTCCCACACACCTGAATCACTTCAGGTGGCTCTGAAGCCGGGGCAGGGTTCTACGGAATACACCCACAGATGGATCTCGTGCCTGGATCCATGGTGCAGGTGTGCGTGCACACATGCACACTCGGCACACATGCATGCCCCTGTGTGTCTCTTTGTTCCTCCGGACTTGCCGCGGAGTGCCCTGAAGCCTGCTCCTTGGCCAAGGTTGCCTGGGCAGCCGGAGGCTAAAGTTCCCGACGGGGACTCGGGAGGGGGTGCAAAGGGGGAACAGTGCTGCCCGTCCACGCCGCCTGGGGGCATGGTGGGCCTATCTGGGTCGCTGATGGGGGACGCAACCAGATGGCCCTGTTTCCTCCCTGCTTGGTGTTTCTGAGCCTCCGGTGGTCATCCACCAGCAGAGAGAATTCTCTGTCAAGAGGGGGAGGATTCGGGACCCCCCTCTGGGGGTCTTGCCTTTGCAGAACGCTGGGTAACTTACCTTGAGTGGAAGACTGAGGTCGACGAGGTGTCGACGGTGGCCTGGCCGTGGACCCTGGCGCCCCTTCCCCGTCTTGGCGCATATTTGCAGACGGCGATCGGCTCTGCTTTAACCGTCTTCTTCGTTGGTTCTGAAACCAGACCTAGGGGCAAACAGAGAGAATACGTTCTCAAGAGAAAGGCCTCCGGGTGCTTTCTGCTGACGCGGATCGGCACGGGGAGCCTGAGAGGGAGAACGGGTGGAGAGAGGGGGCCCTACCTGAACTCTGCTTTCGGCAATGCCAAGCTCTCGGGCCAGTCGTTCTCTGGTCGCTATCCCAGGGTAGGGGTTCTGTTGAAAGAGCGCTTGCAGGGTGTCCTTCTGGCTCAGCTTCAGAACGAGCCTCCTCCTTCGAGATCCTCTGGCGATGGGGCCTGTGGAAGAGACGAAAGGGAAAAGTCTCAGAGGACGTGGGGTTTGGAGAGGACTCGACGGAAGTGCCCAAGCATGCTCCCCACCCAGGGCAGTTGCCCCTGTGCCTCAGCAAAGCCGGGAGCCCGGGGACGCCTCTGCATTTGGAAGTCACTTGACTACACCCCGAGTGACAGGCCGAGAGTCAAGGGCAGTGGGGAAATCCCCCAACCCCCGACCCACGCTGGAGTCCGAGGAACACCAGCAAGCAGAAAGGAAGCCAAACCCGCCCCTGAAACAAAGCTGGCAAGAAATCCCACCCACCAAAGACCAGCACACCATGCAGCCTGTCTGCAGAGACATTTTTCCACCTGCCTCAGCAGATGCCTGGGAAATGTCTTGATGGGGCCTCTCCCAAAATTCCCTCCATCACAATGCCAATGGAGGGGAACCTGGCTTCTCGGGGCTAAGAGGAGCCCAGGCCATATTTGCCGTCACTAGGGGAACAGGAAAGGAAGAGGGAAGGAAGCCAAGGCGAAGCCCAACATGCAACGCCTGACGGAAGACAGAAGGCACTAGGCCATTGTGGACAGAAAGCCACTGAAGTTGGCAAAGCCACAGAGCTCCCCGACGTCCATTTCCATGGCAAGATGAGGAAATAGGGCCCCATGCCAGTTCCCCTACCGGTCCCCCTAACACACAACCAACACCATCATCACAGAAAAGAGAAAGGAGAAGCCATGTGTGTGCCAAAGGAGCCAAACGACCAAACGGTGCCTCTCTGGGCACACCTGACGCCTGGAAACCAGGGGCCCAGCCGATCGGTCCCTGGCTTTCTTGGCGGTCAGTCGACACGTTTGCAGTGAACCCTTGGCCGGGCTATCCACAGACCCACCCCCCACCCCCACCCCGAGACCTGATCCGACCCCAGGGAGCGAGGGCAAACGTACCGCCTGAGGTGCTGGAGGAGCTGGACGAAGCCATGGTGGGAGAGCCACAGGGACGCTGCAGACTGCCTTCTCAGTGGGCCAGGACCCAGCTGCTCGGGACTTTGGATAGGGTGAGGCAGCTCCGCCCCTATTCACGTCAATCGTGGTGGGTGCTTAGTCAGAGGGGACGCCCCTGGCCTCCAAGCAGAGACCCTGGAAAGAATCCCGTGGAGCCAGTGGGCTTTCACGGGCACGGCCCGCGACCCAGACTCCCAAGGTCCACGTTGGCCTGGGGGCGGTGGGCGTTGGGGGTTTTGGTGTGTGGCCCTGCCACGCAGCAGCTGGAATCAACCCCAGGCTCGGGGGCCCTCCGCAGTGCACAGAGTCCTAACTGCACGGGAATTCCCCTAGGTCCCTTTGAAGTTGCCGCCCACGCCCCCTTTCCCAGCCTGCCTTGCCTTCCGAAACGCCCTGGCTTTTCCCGCCTTTTCACATTCCACATATACGTTGGACTCAATGGCCTCCGCCGGCTCCTCCGGAGCATTCCCGGACACTGGACGCTCTCTCCAGTGCCTCCTCCTAGCTGCCTTAAATCCTTGCCTCCCTTTTCCACATTCCTCCCCACCTCCTCGGTGCCCCCCTGGCATCCTTTCCCGACAGCAGTCCCAGTCCACCGCCCTGCCCACACCCACCCCACGCCCACCCCCACCAAATACACCCAAGTCTTTGACTTGCCAGAAACCCAAGTCTACTGCGAGAGAAGTGATGGGCCAGTGTCTCGAATGGTAACTCACACCGTTTGGGGCTTTTTCAGGTGCACCCTGATGCTTGCACCTCCCCAGCCCACCCCCTACTCAAAGTGCCCTGGGGAGACCTCGGAAACGGGACACTGTACCCACTACTCTTAGGAAGGTGGTTCCACTAAGCCAAGGAAGGAAGCATGCACGTTCTGGACGGAGAGGCGCCCTGACCTGTGCCAACAACTGGACGTGGAAATAGTGTGTGCTTTCTTAAAGAAACGGAGGGCAGAGAGGAGAAGGAGGAGGGAATCAGGAGGCAGGAGCAGACACAGGAGGGAGGAGGTTGCATGAGGCCACACGGGGGATGGCTCTGAACAGGTTCCAATGAATTGAAAAGAAATGAACGAACCACAACACCACACCCACAGCCATCTTTCCCAATGGATTCTTTGGCCACGCAGGTCTCTAAAGCCAACCACGGGGGCTTCACATGGGAACAGTCAGGGGGTTGTATGTACATCGAATCCACCGTGTCTATGAATTCAGGAACGGGTTTGCAAGGAAATCATGCCTGTAGGTCTGCGGGTGATGCGGGGATGCTGGTGGCAGGGCGAGCTGAGTCACTACACCGTGAGGATCAGAGAGACACACGGAGATGATTGGCCTTTGCAGCTCTACCAGGCATGTGTGTTGACATGGAGTCTGGTCGTGAAAGCGGTTGTGTGGGTAGGTCCCTACTGCTGGCTCAGAGGATCTGACCTCGGGAAACCCGCCCAGACCAGGCACCCCGAAACCGAGGGAAGCATGTCCCTGACGGAGTATTTTAGGGATACCTGCAGGGATGGCCAGTGGCTAGAAGCTGAGTCCCAGACGGGGGCCCCGCCCCCCTCCCCCAAACGCCCTCTCCCTCCCTCCGTCCCCAAATCTCTCTGTCTCCTTCTCTTCTCTTCCTCCCTCCCTCTCCCACTGAGCCTTCCCCAAGCCTCTCCCTTCTCCCCCACCCTCTCCCTCCATCCACTCGCCCCCTCCCACCTTGCGTTTCCCAGCCTTCTACCTTCCCACTGCTCTATCTCCCACTCCCACTCGCTCGGCTGCCCCTGGCCTAGGGAAGGAGTGCTCCTGTGTGGACTGCTGGAAAGACGCAACCAGAACACAGATGAGTCAGACCAAAAGAACCTGTGCAGAGCACAGGGTTTCTTTATTGGCTCCACAGCATGTCCGTTCTTAGCCACCGTCTTGGTCACTGGAATCCTGCGATTCCTTGAGGCTTCAGGTGGTCTGTGCCTCTTGGAGGGGGCCCATGCTTCCCAAAGGTCCAGCTCTAGTGTATGTCCCCAAAGTTGCTGGTAGTCATCCCGTCTGTTTGCTCCCCACCGCCCCCCCTCCCCCACCTAAAATCTTCCCTACTCCACGACCTCCGTGGCTTGGCCTCTGAAGCAAGGAGACCTGAAAGGGGCTCAGGGGAGATGGTGCCCCTTTCCTTCTTCTCCCTCTAAGCCCGAGGGCCTGGGGAGCCTGGCAGCATGTCCAGGAGTGCCTGGTAATCCTCCTCTCTGAGGGGTGCCTCCAGGATTGCCTCAACTCCTTCTTCGTCCGCAGCGGCCCGCGGTGAAGACCAGGGCGTGTCCTGGATGGACGAGGCAGCCATGATTTCCTCTAGGAGGCTGGGAGACCCGGGGAGGGCTGGATGGTACCCTGGGATGACAGGAGAGGACCCCAGGGAAGGACCCGGCGAGCCCGGGATGCATGTGACGGCCAGGAGCTCATCTTGGAGGCTGGGTGAGCCTGGGAGGGCGAGGTGTGCTCCTGCATCTGCATAGGGCCCCAGGGAAGGCGCCTGCGAGGCCGCAATATCCGTGGCCTCCAAGAGCTGGCCTAGAAAGCTGGGTGTGCCTGGCAGGGCAGGGTGTGCTCCTGCATCTGCAGCGGCCCCCGGGGAAGGCGCCTGCGAGGACCCGAGGCCCGTGGCCTCCAAGAGCTCGTCTAGGAAGCTGGGTGGGTCTGGCAGGGCAGGGTGCACTCCTGCATCTGCACCGGGCTCCGGGGAAGGCGCCTGAGAGTCCTCGATGCCCGTGGCATCCAAGAGCTCGTCTAGGAAGCTGGTTGCAACTGGCAGGGCAGGGTGCGCTCCTGCATCTGCAGCGGCCCCCGGGGAAGGTGCCTGCCAGTCTGCGATGCCCGTGGCTTCCAAGAGCTCGTCAAGGAAGCTGGGTGCGTCTGGCAGGGCAGGGTGCACTTCTGAATCTGCAGCAGCCCCCGGGGAAGGCGCCTGCGTGTCCGGGATGCCTGTGGCCTCCACGAACTCTTCTAGGATGCTGGCTGTGCCTGGGAGGGCAGGGTGTGCTCCTGCATCCGCAGCAGCCCCCGGGGAAGGCGCCTGCCAGTCTGTGATGCCCATGGCCTCCAAGAGCTCGTCTAGGAAGCTGGGTGCGTCTGGCAGGGCAGGGTGCACTCGTGCATCTGCAGCGGCCCCCGGGCAAGGCGCCTGCATGTCCGGGATGCCCGTGGCCTCCACGAACTCTTCTAGGATGCTGGGTTCGCCTGGGAGGGCAGGGTGCACTCGTGCATCTGCAGCGTCCCCCGCGGAAGGCGCCTGCGTTTCCAGGATGCCGGTGGCCGCCAAGAGCTCATCTAGGAGGCTTGTCGATCTTGGAAGGCTGGGCGGATGGGGCTGTGGCTCTAGCAGAGGGGCCGTGCCTTCAGCAACGGGTGACTCTGGCCTCCGCCTGATGTGTGTCTCAGGCTGTAGAGGCGGCAGGATGGCCCCTGGCCCAGGCTGCCAAGGGGCCGTGTCAGCAGGGGAGCACGCGGCCCAGGGCACTGCTACCTGGGGAGGAGGTGGTGGCTTCTCACTTGGCTGGAGAGCCATCGGGCTGGGCTGGATCACGAAGAACATCAACGGCTGGCCCACACAGACCCCAGAGGCAGTCCCGGGCACCCAGAAGGTGGGGGCGCCCAAAGGAGCGGCTGCAGCCAAGGGTGGCATGCTCTCCTGTGTCTGAGAGGGGCCAAGGGGAGGAGAGGTGCTGTGGACAGCGGGTGGGGCCCTTCGGTCCTCTGGAGCAGGAGCGGTCGTGGCCGATGCGCCGCCTGGTCCTCGGGCCCGGACATTGCCAGGCCCCCTTGCGCTCTGCTGGGGGTGCCGAGCTCTTCGGTTTTGAAACCATATCTAGGGGAGCAAAAGGCAGACAGGCACATCAGAAGCCGTGACCGTCCAGATCAACGTGCTGGCGCCTCCGCGGCACCCATTTGTCACCCCGCCTGGCGGCCCGTCCTCTGATCTGGCAGGCCCAGGGCGAGTTCTGCAGGGCCATTTTCTGCAAACGAATCCCTGGGCCCTGGGAGATGAGGAGCGCCTGCACGGCAACAAGTGGCACAAAACCCACCACTCAGCCCACCAACTTTCGGCCCCCTCCCCCCAGCCCAAGCCCCGGCCCAAGCCGACGTGTATCCAGCTCCAAACGCTTGGCAGGGCTGAACGCGCCCGTCTCCTGGGCCACGGCCTGGGCCCATGCGCTGGCTGGAGAACTTACCTGGATTCGAGGTTCTGGGATTCCCGTCTGACGAGCCAGTTCTTCCCTGGCGGCAATCCCTGGAAAGCGATCCCTCGTGAAGGCTTGCACAAGGATCCTTGTTTGAGAAGGAGAGATGGCTGTCCTCTTTCTCCTGGCCTCTCTGGCCGAGTCTTCTACCAAGGAAAGAACACACCGAGAGGAGAGGACTTTAAGGCCCATGGAACCTTGACAGCACAGATACCCTGGACGGTGTGCAGGGGCTGGAGAGTCCCACACACCTGAATCACTTCAGGTGGCTCTGAAGCCGGGGCAGGGTTCTACGGAATACACCCACAGATGGATCTCGTGCCTGGATCCATGGTGCAGGTGTGCGTGCACACATGCACACTCGGCACACATGCATGCCCCTGTGTGTCTCTTTGTTCCTCCGGACTTGCCGCGGAGTGCCCTGAAGCCTGCTCCTTGGCCAAGGTTGCCTGGGCAGCCGGAGGCTAAAGTTCCCGACGGGGACTCGGGAGGGGGTGCAAAGGGGGAACAGTGCTGCCCGTCCACGCCGCCTGGGGGCATGGTGGCCCTATCTGGGTCACTGATGGGGGACGCAACCAGATGGCCCTGTTTCCTCCCTGCTTGGTGTTTCTGAGCCTCCGGTGGTCATCCACCAGCAGAGAGAATTCTCTGTCAAGAGGGGGAGGATTCGGGACCCCCCTCTGGGGGTCTTGCCTTTGCAGAACGCTGGGTAACTTACCTTGAGTGGAAGACTGAGGTCGACGAGGTGTCGACGGTGGCCTGGCCGTGGACCCTGGCGCCCCTTCCCCGTCTTGGCGCATATTTGCAGACGGCGATCGGCTCTGCTTTAACCGTCTTCTTCGTTGGTTCTGAAACCAGACCTAGGGGCAAACAGAGAGAATACGTTCTCAAGAGAAAGGCCTCCGGGTGCTTTCTGCTGACGCGGATCGGCACGGGGAGCCTGAGAGGGAGAACGGGTGGAGAGAGGGGGCCCTACCTGAACTCTGCTTTCGGCAATGCCAAGCTCTCGGGCCAGTCGTTCTCTGGTCGCTATCCCAGGGTAGGGGTTCTGTTGAAAGAGCGCTTGCAGGGTGTCCTTCTGGCTCAGCTTCAGAACGAGCCTCCTCCTTCGAGATCCTCTGGCGATGGGGCCTGTGGAAGAGACGAAAGGGAAAAGTCTCAGAGGACGTGGGGTTTGGAGAGGACTCGACGGAAGTGCCCAAGCATGCTCCCCACCCAGGGCAGTTGCCCCTGTGCCTCAGCAAAGCCGGGAGCCCGGGGACGCCTCTGCATTTGGAAGTCACTTGACTACACCCCGAGTGACAGGCCGAGAGTCAAGGGCAGTGGGGAAATCCCCCAACCTCCGACCCACGCTGGAGTCCGAGGAACACCAGCAAGCAGAAAGGAAGCCAAACCCGCCCCTGAAACAAAGCTGGCAAGAAATCCCACCCACCAAAGACCAGCACACCATGCAGCCTGTCTGCAGAGACATTTTTCCACCTGCCTCAGCAGATGCCTGGGAAATGTCTTGATGGGGCCTCTCCCAAAATTCCCTCCATCACAATGCCAATGGAGGGGAACCTGGCTTCTCGGGGCTAAGAGGAGCCCAGGCCATATTTGCCGTCACTAGGGGAACAGGAAAGGAAGAGGGAAGGAAGCCAAGGCGAAGCCCAACATGCAACGCCTGACGGAAGACAGAAGGCACTAGGCCATTGTGGACAGAAAGCCACTGAAGTTGGCAAAGCCACAGAGCTCCCCGACGTCCATTTCCATGGCAAGATGAGGAAATAGGGCCCCATGCCAGTTCCCCTACCGGCCCCCCTAACACACAACCAACACCATCATCACAGAAAAGAGAAAGGAGAAGCCATGTGTGTGCCAAAGGAGCCAAACGACCAAACGGTGCCTCTCTGGGCACACCTGACGCCTGGAAACCAGGGGCCCAGCCGATCGGTCCCTGGCTTTCTTGGCGGTCAGTCGACACGTTTGCAGTGAACCCTTGGCCGGGCTATCCACAGACCCACCCCCCACCCCCACCCCGAGACCTGATCCGACCCCAGGGAGCGAGGGCAAACGTACCGCCTGAGGTGCTGGAGGAGCTGGACGAAGCCATGGTGGGAGAGCCACAGGGACGCTGCAGACTGCCTTCTCAGTGGGCCAGGACCCAGCTGCTCGGGACTTTGGATAGGGTGAGGCAGCTCCGCCCCTATTCACGTCAATCGTGGTGGGTGCTTAGTCAGAGGGGACGCCCCTGGCCTCCAAGCAGAGACCCTGGAAAGAATCCCGTGGAGCCAGTGGGCTTTCACGGGCACGGCCCGCGACCCAGACTCCCAAGGTCCACGTTGGCCTGGGGGCGGTGGGCGTTGGGGGTTTTGGTGTGTGGCCCTGCCACGCAGCAGCTGGAATCAACCCCAGGCTCGGGGGCCCTCCGCAGTGCACAGAGTCCTAACTGCACGGGAATTCCCCTAGGTCCCTTTGAAGTTGCCGCCCACGCCCCCTTTCCCAGCCTGCCTTGCCTTCCGAAACGCCCTGGCTTTTCCCGCCTTTTCACATTCCACATATACGTTGGACTCAATGGCCTCCGCCGGCTCCTCCGGAGCATTCCCGGACACTGGACGCTCTCTCCAGTGCCTCCTCCTAGCTGCCTTAAATCCTTGCCTCCCTTTTCCACATTCCTCCCCACCTCCTCGGTGCCCCCCTGGCATCCTTTCCCGACAGCAGTCCCAGTCCACCGCCCTGCCCACACCCACCCCACGCCCACCCCCACCAAATACACCCAAGTCTTTGACTTGCCAGAAACCCAAGTCTACTGCGAGAGAAGTGATGGGCCAGTGTCTCGAATGGCAACTCACACCGTTTGGGGCTTTTTCAGGTGCACCCTGATGCTTGCACCTCCCCAGCCCACCCCCTACTCAAAGTGCCCTGGGGAGACCTCGGAAACGGGACACTGTACCCACTACTCTTAGGAAGGTGGTTCCACTAAGCCAAGGAAGGAAGCATGCACGTTCTGGACGGAGAGGCGCCCTGACCTGTGCCAACAACTGGACGTGGAAATAGTGTGTGCTTTCTTAAAGAAACGGAGGGCAGAGAGGAGAAGGAGGAGGGAATCAGGAGGCAGGAGCAGACACAGGAGGGAGGAGGTTGCATGAGGCCACACGGGGGATGGCTCTGAACAGGTTCCAATGAATTGAAAAGAAATGAACGAACCACAACACCACACCCACAGCCATCTTTCCCAATGGATTCTTTGGCCACGCAGGTCTCTAAAGCCAACCACGGGGGCTTCACATGGGAACAGTCAGGGGGTTGTATGTACATCGAATCCACCGTGTCTATGAATTCAGGAACGGGTTTGCAAGGAAATCATGCCTGTAGGTCTGCGGGTGATGCGGGGATGCTGGTGGCAGGGCGAGCTGAGTCACTACACCGTGAGGATCAGAGAGACACACGGAGATGATTGGCCTTTGCAGCTCTACCAGGCATGTGTGTTGACATGGAGTCTGGTCGTGAAAGCGGTTGTGTGGGTAGGTCCCTACTGCTGGCTCAGAGGATCTGACCTCGGGAAACCCGCCCAGACCAGGCACCCCGAAACCGAGGGAAGCATGTCCCTGACGGAGTATTTTAGGGATACCTGCAGGGATGGCCAGTGGCTAGAAGCTGAGTCCCAGACGGGGGCCCCGCCCCCCTCCCCCAAACGCCCTCTCCCTCCCTCCGTCCCCAAATCTCTCTGTCTCCTTCTCTTCTCTTCCTCCCTCCCTCTCCCACTGAGCCTTCCCCAAGCCTCTCCCTTCTCCCCCACCCTCTCCCTCCATCCACTCGCCCCCTCCCACCTTGCGTTTCCCAGCCTTCTACCTTCCCACTGCTCTATCTCCCACTCCCACTCGCTCGGCTGCCCCTGGCCTAGGGAAGGAGTGCTCCTGTGTGGACTGCTGGAAAGACGCAACCAGAACACAGATGAGTCAGACCAAAAGAACCTGTGCAGAGCACAGGGTTTCTTTATTGGCTCCACAGCATGTCCGTTCTTAGCCACCGTCTTGGTCACTGGAATCCTGCGATTCCTTGAGGCTTCAGGTGGTCTGTGCCTCTTGGAGGGGGCCCATGCTTCCCAAAGGTCCAGCTCTAGTGTATGTCCCCAAAGTTGCTGGTAGTCATCCCGTCTGTTTGCTCCCCACCGCCCCCCCTCCCCCACCTAAAATCTTCCCTACTCCACGACCTCCGTGGCTTGGCCTCTGAAGCAAGGAGACCTGAAAGGGGCTCAGGGGAGATGGTGCCCCTTTCCTTCTTCTCCCTCTAAGCCCGAGGGCCTGGGGAGCCTGGCAGCATGTCCAGGAGTGCCTGGTAATCCTCCTCTCTGAGGGGTGCCTCCAGGATTGCCTCAACTCCTTCTTCGTCCGCAGCGGCCCGCGGTGAAGACCAGGGCGTGTCCTGGATGGACGAGGCAGCCATGATTTCCTCTAGGAGGCTGGGAGACCCGGGGAGGGCTGGATGGTACCCTGGGATGACAGGAGAGGACCCCAGGGAAGGACCCGGCGAGCCCGGGATGCATGTGACGGCCAGGAGCTCATCTTGGAGGCTGGGTGAGCCTGGGAGGGCGAGGTGTGCTCCTGCATCTGCATAGGGCCCCAGGGAAGGCGCCTGCGAGGCCGCAATATCCGTGGCCTCCAAGAGCTGGCCTAGAAAGCTGGGTGTGCCTGGCAGGGCAGGGTGTGCTCCTGCATCTGCAGCGGCCCCCGGGGAAGGCGCCTGCGAGGACCCGAGGCCCGTGGCCTCCAAGAGCTCGTCTAGGAAGCTGGGTGGGTCTGGCAGGGCAGGGTGCACTCCTGCATCTGCACCGGGCTCCGGGGAAGGCGCCTGAGAGTCCTCGATGCCCGTGGCATCCAAGAGCTCGTCTAGGAAGCTGGTTGCAACTGGCAGGGCAGGGTGCGCTCCTGCATCTGCAGCGGCCCCCGGGGAAGGTGCCTGCCAGTCTGCGATGCCCGTGGCTTCCAAGAGCTCGTCAAGGAAGCTGGGTGCGTCTGGCAGGGCAGGGTGCACTTCTGAATCTGCAGCAGCCCCCGGGGAAGGCGCCTGCGTGTCCGGGATGCCTGTGGCCTCCACGAACTCTTCTAGGATGCTGGCTGTGCCTGGGAGGGCAGGGTGTGCTCCTGCATCCGCAGCAGCCCCCGGGGAAGGCGCCTGCCAGTCTGTGATGCCCATGGCCTCCAAGAGCTCGTCTAGGAAGCTGGGTGCGTCTGGCAGGGCAGGGTGCACTCGTGCATCTGCAGCGGCCCCCGGGCAAGGCGCCTGCATGTCCGGGATGCCCGTGGCCTCCACGAACTCTTCTAGGATGCTGGGTTCGCCTGGGAGGGCAGGGTGCACTCGTGCATCTGCAGCGTCCCCCGCGGAAGGCGCCTGCGTTTCCAGGATGCCGGTGGCCGCCAAGAGCTCATCTAGGAGGCTTGTCGATCTTGGAAGGCTGGGCGGATGGGGCTGTGGCTCTAGCAGAGGGGCCGTGCCTTCAGCAACGGGTGACTCTGGCCTCCGCCTGATGTGTGTCTCAGGCTGTAGAGGCGGCAGGATGGCCCCTGGCCCAGGCTGCCAAGGGGCCGTGTCAGCAGGGGAGCACGCGGCCCAGGGCACTGCTACCTGGGGAGGAGGTGGTGGCTTCTCACTTGGCTGGAGAGCCATCGGGCTGGGCTGGATCACGAAGAACATCAACGGCTGGCCCACACAGACCCCAGAGGCAGTCCCGGGCACCCAGAAGGTGGGGGCGCCCAAAGGAGCGGCTGCAGCCAAGGGTGGCATGCTCTCCTGTGTCTGAGAGGGGCCAAGGGGAGGAGAGGTGCTGTGGACAGCGGGTGGGGCCCTTCGGTCCTCTGGAGCAGGAGCGGTCGTGGCCGATGCGCCGCCTGGTCCTCGGGCCCGGACATTGCCAGGCCCCCTTGCGCTCTGCTGGGGGTGCCGAGCTCTTCGGTTTTGAAACCATATCTAGGGGAGCAAAAGGCAGACAGGCACATCAGAAGCCGTGACCGTCCAGATCAACGTGCTGGCGCCTCCGCGGCACCCATTTGTCACCCCGCCTGGCGGCCCGTCCTCTGATCTGGCAGGCCCAGGGCGAGTTCTGCAGGGCCATTTTCTGCAAACGAATCCCTGGGCCCTGGGAGATGAGGAGCGCCTGCACGGCAACAAGCGGCACAAAACCCACCACTCAGCCCACCAACTTTCGGCCCCCTCCCCCCAGCCCAAGCCCCGGCCCAAGCCGACGTGTATCCAGCTCCAAACGCTTGGCAGGGCTGAACGCGCCCGTCTCCTGGGCCACGGCCTGGGCCCATGCGCTGGCTGGAGAACTTACCTGGATTCGAGGTTCTGGGATTCCCGTCTGACGAGCCAGTTCTTCCCTGGCGGCAATCCCTGGAAAGCGATCCCTCGTGAAGGCTTGCACAAGGATCCTTGTTTGAGAAGGAGAGATGGCTGTCCTCTTTCTCCTGGCCTCTCTGGCCGAGTCTTCTACCAAGGAAAGAACACACCGAGAGGAGAGGACTTTAAGGCCCATGGAACCTTGACAGCACAGATACCCTGGACGGTGTGCAGGGGCTGGACAGTCCCACACACCTGAATCACTTCAGGTGGCTCTGAAGCCGGGGCAGGGTTCTACGGAATACACCCACAGATGGATCTCGTGCCTGGATCCATGGTGCAGGTGTGCGTGCACACATGCACACTCGGCACACATGCATGCCCCTGTGTGTCTCTTTGTTCCTCCGGACTTGCCGCGGAGTGCCCTGAAGCCTGCTCCTTGGCCAAGGTTGCCTGGGCAGCCGGAGGCTAAAGTTCCCGACGGGGACTCGGGAGGGGGTGCAAAGGGGGAACAGTGCTGCCCGTCCACGCCGCCTGGGGGCATGGTGGCCCTATCTGGGTCGCTGATGGGGGACGCAACCAGATGGCCCTGTTTCCTCCCTGCTTGGTGTTTCTGAGCCTCCGGTGGTCATCCACCAGCAGAGAGAATTCTCTGTCAAGAGGGGGAGGATTCGGGACCCCCCTCTGGGGGTCTTGCCTTTGCAGAACGCTGGGTAACTTACCTTGAGTGGAAGACTGAGGTCGACGAGGTGTCGACGGTGGCCTGGCCGTGGACCCTGGCGCCCCTTCCCCGTCTTGGCGCATATTTGCAGACGGCGATCGGCTCTGCTTTAACCGTCTTCTTCGTTGGTTCTGAAACCAGACCTAGGGGCAAACAGAGAGAATACGTTCTCAAGAGAAAGGCCTCCGGGTGCTTTCTGCTGACGCGGATCGGCACGGGGAGCCTGAGAGGGAGAACGGGTGGAGAGAGGGGGCCCTACCTGAACTCTGCTTTCGGCAATGCCAAGCTCTCGGGCCAGTCGTTCTCTGGTCGCTATCCCAGGGTAGGGGTTCTGTTGAAAGAGCGCTTGCAGGGTGTCCTTCTGGCTCAGCTTCAGAACGAGCCTCCTCCTTCGAGATCCTCTGGCGATGGGGCCTGTGGAAGAGACGAAAGGGAAAAGTCTCAGAGGACGTGGGGTTTGGAGAGGACTCGACGGAAGTGCCCAAGCATGCTCCCCACCCAGGGCAGTTGCCCCTGTGCCTCAGCAAAGCCGGGAGCCCGGGGACGCCTCTGCATTTGGAAGTCACTTGACTACACCCCGAGTGACAGGCCGAGAGTCAAGGGCAGTGGGGAAATCCCCCAACCCCCGACCCACGCTGGAGTCCGAGGAACACCAGCAAGCAGAAAGGAAGCCAAACCCGCCCCTGAAACAAAGCTGGCAAGAAATCCCACCCACCAAAGACCAGCACACCATGCAGCCTGTCTGCAGAGACATTTTTCCACCTGCCTCAGCAGATGCCTGGGAAATGTCTTGATGGGGCCTCTCCCAAAATTCCCTCCATCACAATGCCAATGGAGGGGAACCTGGCTTCTCGGGGCTAAGAGGAGCCCAGGCCATATTTGCCGTCACTAGGGGAACAGGAAAGGAAGAGGGAAGGAAGCCAAGGCGAAGCCCAACATGCAACGCCTGACGGAAGACAGAAGGCACTAGGCCATTGTGGACAGAAAGCCACTGAAGTTGGCAAAGCCACAGAGCTCCCCGACGTCCATTTCCATGGCAAGATGAGGAAATAGGGCCCCATGCCAGTTCCCCTACCGGCCCCCCTAACACACAACCAACACCATCATCACAGAAAAGAGAAAGGAGAAGCCATGTGTGTGCCAAAGGAGCCAAACGACCAAACGGTGCCTCTCTGGGCACACCTGACGCCTGGAAACCAGGGGCCCAGCCGATCGGTCCCTGGCTTTCTTGGCGGTCAGTCGACACGTTTGCAGTGAACCCTTGGCCGGGCTATCCACAGACCCACCCCCCACCCCCACCCCGAGACCTGATCCGACCCCAGGGAGCGAGGGCAAACGTACCGCCTGAGGTGTTGGAGGAGCTGGACGAAGCCATGGTGGGAGAGCCACAGGGACGCTGCAGACTGCCTTCTCAGTGGGCCAGGACCCAGCTGCTCGGGACTTTGGATAGGGTGAGGCAGCTCCGCCCCTATTCACGTCAATCGTGGTGGGTGCTTAGTCAGAGGGGACGCCCCTGGCCTCCAAGCAGAGACCCTGGAAAGAATCCCGTGGAGCCAGTGGGCTTTCACGGGCACGGCCCGCGACCCAGACTCCCAAGGTCCACGTTGGCCTGGGGGCGGTGGGCGTTGGGGGTTTTGGTGTGTGGCCCTGCCACGCAGCAGCTGGAATCAACCCCAGGCTCGGGGGCCCTCCGCAGTGCACAGAGTCCTAACTGCACGGGAATTCCCCTAGGTCCCTTTGAAGTTGCCGCCCACGCCCCCTTTCCCAGCCTGCCTTGCCTTCCGAAACGCCCTGGCTTTTCCCGCCTTTTCACATTCCACATATACGTTGGACTCAATGGCCTCCGCCGGCTCCTCCGGAGCATTCCCGGACACTGGACGCTCTCTCCAGTGCCTCCTCCTAGCTGCCTTAAATCCTTGCCTCCCTTTTCCACATTCCTCCCCACCTCCTCGGTGCCCCCCTGGCATCCTTTCCCGACAGCAGTCCCAGTCCACCGCCCTGCCCACACCCACCCCACGCCCACCCCCACCAAATACACCCAAGTCTTTGACTTGCCAGAAACCCAAGTCTACTGCGAGAGAAGTGATGGGCCAGTGTCTCGAATGGCAACTCACACCGTTTGGGGCTTTTTCAGGTGCACCCTGATGCTTGCACCTCCCCAGCCCACCCCCTACTCAAAGTGCCCTGGGGAGACCTCGGAAACGGGACACTGTACCCACTACTCTTAGGAAGGTGGTTCCACTAAGCCAAGGAAGGAAGCATGCACGTTCTGGACGGAGAGGCGCCCTGACCTGTGCCAACAACTGGACGTGGAAATAGTGTGTGCTTTCTTAAAGAAACGGAGGGCAGAGAGGAGAAGGAGGAGGGAATCAGGAGGCAGGAGCAGACACAGGAGGGAGGAGGTTGCATGAGGCCACACGGGGGATGGCTCTGAACAGGTTCCAATGAATTGAAAAGAAATGAACGAACCACAACACCACACCCACAGCCATCTTTCCCAATGGATTCTTTGGCCACGCAGGTCTCTAAAGCCAACCACGGGGGCTTCACATGGGAACAGTCAGGGGGTTGTATGTACATCGAATCCACCGTGTCTATGAATTCAGGAACGGGTTTGCAAGGAAATCATGCCTGTATGTCTGCGGGTGATGCGGGGATGCTGGTGGCAGGGCGAGCTGAGTCACTACACCGTGAGGATCAGAGAGACACACGGAGATGATTGGCCTTTGCAGCTCTACCAGGCATGTGTGTTGACATGGAGTCTGGTCGTGAAAGCGGTTGTGTGGGTAGGTCCCTACTGCTGGCTCAGAGGATCTGACCTCGGGAAACCCGCCCAGACCAGGCACCCCGAAACCGAGGGAAGCATGTCCCTGACGGAGTATTTTAGGGATACCTGCAGGGATGGCCAGTGGCTAGAAGCTGAGTCCCAGACGGGGGCCCCGCCCCCCTCCCCCAAACGCCCTCTCCCTCCCTCCGTCCCCAAATCTCTCTGTCTCCTTCTCTTCTCTTCCTCCCTCCCTCTCCCACTGAGCCTTCCCCAAGCCTCTCCCTTCTCCCCCACCCTCTCCCTCCATCCACTCGCCCCCTCCCACCTTGCGTTTCCCAGCCTTCTACCTTCCCACTGCTCTATCTCCCACTCCCACTCGCTCGGCTGCCCCTGGCCTAGGGAAGGAGTGCTCCTGTGTGGACTGCTGGAAAGACGCAACCAGAACACAGATGAGTCAGACCAAAAGAACCTGTGCAGAGCACAGGGTTTCTTTATTGGCTCCACAGCATGTCCGTTCTTAGCCACCGTCTTGGTCACTGGAATCCTGCGATTCCTTGAGGCTTCAGGTGGTCTGTGCCTCTTGGAGGGGGCCCATGCTTCCCAAAGGTCCAGCTCTAGTGTATGTCCCCAAAGTTGCTGGTAGTCATCCCGTCTGTTTGCTCCCCACCGCCCCCCCTCCCCCACCTAAAATCTTCCCTACTCCACGACCTCCGTGGCTTGGCCTCTGAAGCAAGGAGACCTGAAAGGGGCTCAGGGGAGATGGTGCCCCTTTCCTTCTTCTCCCTCTAAGCCCGAGGGCCTGGGGAGCCTGGCAGCATGTCCAGGAGTGCCTGGTAATCCTCCTCTCTGAAGGGTGCCTCCAGGATTGCCTCAACTCCTTCTTCGTCCGCAGCGGCCCGCGGTGAAGACCAGGGCGTGTCCTGGATGGACGAGGCAGCCATGATTTCCTCTAGGAGGCTGGGAGACCCGGGGAGGGCTGGATGGTACCCTGGGATGACAGGAGAGGACCCCAGGGAAGGACCCGGCGAGCCCGGGATGCATGTGACGGCCAGGAGCTCATCTTGGAGGCTGGGTGAGCCTGGGAGGGCGAGGTGTGCTCCTGCATCTGCATAGGGCCCCAGGGAAGGCGCCTGCGAGGCCGCAATATCCGTGGCCTCCAAGAGCTGGCCTAGAAAGCTGGGTGTGCCTGGCAGGGCAGGGTGTGCTCCTGCATCTGCAGCGGCCCCCGGGGAAGGCGCCTGCGAGGACCCGAGGCCCGTGGCCTCCAAGAGCTCGTCTAGGAAGCTGGGTGGGTCTGGCAGGGCAGGGTGCACTCCTGCATCTGCACCGGGCTCCGGGGAAGGCGCCTGAGAGTCCTCGATGCCCGTGGCATCCAAGAGCTCGTCTAGGAAGCTGGTTGCAACTGGCAGGGCAGGGTGCGCTCCTGCATCTGCAGCGGCCCCCGGGGAAGGTGCCTGCCAGTCTGCGATGCCCGTGGCTTCCAAGAGCTCGTCAAGGAAGCTGGGTGCGTCTGGCAGGGCAGGGTGCACTTCTGAATCTGCAGCAGCCCCCGGGGAAGGCGCCTGCGTGTCCGGGATGCCTGTGGCCTCCACGAACTCTTCTAGGATGCTGGCTGTGCCTGGGAGGGCAGGGTGTGCTCCTGCATCCGCAGCAGCCCCCGGGGAAGGCGCCTGCCAGTCTGTGATGCCCATGGCCTCCAAGAGCTCGTCTAGGAAGCTGGGTGCGTCTGGCAGGGCAGGGTGCACTCGTGCATCTGCAGCGGCCCCCGGGCAAGGCGCCTGCATGTCCGGGATGCCCGTGGCCTCCACGAACTCTTCTAGGATGCTGGGTTCGCCTGGGAGGGCAGGGTGCACTCGTGCATCTGCAGCGTCCCCCGCGGAAGGCGCCTGCGTTTCCAGGATGCCGGTGGCCGCCAAGAGCTCATCTAGGAGGCTTGTCGATCTTGGAAGGCTGGGCGGATGGGGCTGTGGCTCTAGCAGAGGGGCCGTGCCTTCAGCAACGGGTGACTCTGGCCTCCGCCTGATGTGTGTCTCAGGCTGTAGAGGCGGCAGGATGGCCCCTGGCCCAGGCTGCCAAGGGGCCGTGTCAGCAGGGGAGCACGCGGCCCAGGGCACTGCTACCTGGGGAGGAGGTGGTGGCTTCTCACTTGGCTGGAGAGCCATCGGGCTGGGCTGGATCACGAAGAACATCAACGGCTGGCCCACACAGACCCCAGAGGCAGTCCCGGGCACCCAGAAGGTGGGGGCGCCCAAAGGAGCGGCTGCAGCCAAGGGTGGCATGCTCTCCTGTGTCTGAGAGGGGCCAAGGGGAGGAGAGGTGCTGTGGACAGCGGGTGGGGCCCTTCGGTCCTCTGGAGCAGGAGCGGTCGTGGCCGATGCGCCGCCTGGTCCTCGGGCCCGGACATTGCCAGGCCCCCTTGCGCTCTGCTGGGGGTACCGAGCTCTTCGGTTTTGAAACCATATCTAGGGGAGCAAAAGGCAGACAGGCACATCAGAAGCCGTGACCGTCCAGATCAACGTGCTGGCGCCTCCGCGGCACCCATTTGTCACCCCGCCTGGCGGCCCGTCCTCTGATCTGGCAGGCCCAGGGCGAGTTCTGCAGGGCCATTTTCTGCAAACGAATCCCTGGGCCCTGGGAGATGAGGAGCGCCTGCACGGCAACAAGCGGCACAAAACCCACCACTCAGCCCACCAACTTTCGGCCCCCTCCCCCCAGCCCAGGCCCCGGCCCAAGCCGACGTGTATCCAGCTCCAAACGCTTGGCAGGGCTGAACGCGCCTGTCTCCTGGGCCACGGCCTGGGCCCATGCGCTGGCTGGAGAACTTACCTGGATTCGAGGTTCTGGGATTCCCGTCTGACGAGCCAGTTCTTCCCTGGCGGCAATCCCTGGAAAGCGATCCCTCGTGAAGGCTTGCACAAGGATCCTTGTTTGAGAAGGAGAGATGGCTGTCCTCTTTCTCCTGGCCTCTCTGGCCGAGTCTTCTACCAAGGAAAGAACACACCGAGAGGAGAGGACTTTAAGGCCCATGGAACCTTGACAGCACAGATACCCTAGACGGTGTGCAGGGGCTGGAGAGTCCCACACACCTGAATCACTTCAGGTGGCTCTGAAGCCGGGGCAGGGTTCTACGGAATACACCCACAGATGGATCTCGTGCCTGGATCCATGGTGCAGGTGTGCGTGCACACATGCACACTCGGCACACATGCATGCCCCTGTGTGTCTCTTTGTTCCTCCGGACTTGCCGCGGAGTGCCCTGAAGCCTGCTCCTTGGCCAAGGTTGCCTGGGCAGCCGGAGGCTAAAGTTCCCGACGGGGACTCGGGAGGGGGTGCAAAGGGGGAACAGTGCTGCCCGTCCACGCCGCCTGGGGGCATGGTGGCCCTATCTGGGTCACTGATGGGGGACGCAACCAGATGGCCCTGTTTCCTCCCTGCTTGGTGTTTCTGAGCCTCCGGTGGTCATCCACCAGCAGAGAGAATTCTCTGTCAAGAGGGGGAGGATTCGGGACCCCCCTCTGGGGGTCTTGCCTTTGCAGAACGCTGGGTAACTTACCTTGAGTGGAAGACTGAGGTCGACGAGGTGTCGACGGTGGCCTGGCCGTGGACCCTGGCGCCCCTTCCCCGTCTTGGCGCATATTTGCAGACGGCGATCGGCTCTGCTTTAACCGTCTTCTTCGTTGGTTCTGAAACCAGACCTAGGGGCAAACAGAGAGAATACGTTCTCAAGAGAAAGGCCTCCGGGTGCTTTCTGCTGACGCGGATCGGCACGGGGAGCCTGAGAGGGAGAACGGGTGGAGAGAGGGGGCCCTACCTGAACTCTGCTTTCGGCAATGCCAAGCTCTCGGGCCAGTCGTTCTCTGGTCGCTATCCCAGGGTAGGGGTTCTGTTGAAAGAGCGCTTGCAGGGTGTCCTTCTGGCTCAGCTTCAGAACGAGCCTCCTCCTTCGAGATCCTCTGGCGATGGGGCCTGTGGAAGAGACGAAAGGGAAAAGTCTCAGAGGACGTGGGGTTTGGAGAGGACTCGACGGAAGTGCCCAAGCATGCTCCCCACCCAGGGCAGTTGCCCCTGTGCCTCAGCAAAGCCGGGAGCCCGGGGACGCCTCTGCATTTGGAAGTCACTTGACTACACCCCGAGTGACAGGCCGAGAGTCAAGGGCAGTGGGGAAATCCCCCAACCCCCGACCCACGCTGGAGTCCGAGGAACACCAGCAAGCAGAAAGGAAGCCAAACCCGCCCCTGAAACAAAGCTGGCAAGAAATCCCACCCACCAAAGACCAGCACACCATGCAGCCTGTCTGCAGAGACATTTTTCCACCTGCCTCAGCAGATGCCTGGGAAATGTCTTGATGGGGCCTCTCCCAAAATTCCCTCCATCACAATGCCAATGGAGGGGAACCTGGCTTCTCGGGGCTAAGAGGAGCCCAGGCCATATTTGCCGTCACTAGGGGAACAGGAAAGGAAGAGGGAAGGAAGCCAAGGCGAAGCCCAACATGCAACGCCTGACGGAAGACAGAAGGCACTAGGCCATTGTGGACAGAAAGCCACTGAAGTTGGCAAAGCCACAGAGCTCCCCGACGTCCATTTCCATGGCAAGATGAGGAAATAGGGCCCCATGCCAGTTCCCCTACCGGCCCCCCTAACACACAACCAACACCATCATCACAGAAAAGAGAAAGGAGAAGCCATGTGTGTGCCAAAGGAGCCAAACGACCAAACGGTGCCTCTCTGGGCACACCTGACGCCTGGAAACCAGGGGCCCAGCCGATCGGTCCCTGGCTTTCTTGGCGGTCAGTCGACACGTTTGCAGTGAACCCTTGGCCGGGCTATCCACAGACCCACCCCCCACCCCCACCCCGAGACCTGATCCGACCCCAGGGAGCGAGGGCAAACGTACCGCCTGAGGTGCTGGAGGAGCTGGACGAAGCCATGGTGGGAGAGCCACAGGGACGCTGCAGACTGCCTTCTCAGTGGGCCAGGACCCAGCTGCTCGGGACTTTGGATAGGGTGAGGCAGCTCCGCCCCTATTCACGTCAATCGTGGTGGGTGCTTAGTCAGAGGGGACGCCCCTGGCCTCCAAGCAGAGACCCTGGAAAGAATCCCGTGGAGCCAGTGGGCTTTCACGGGCACGGCCCGCGACCCAGACTCCCAAGGTCCACGTTGGCCTGGGGGCGGTGGGCGTTGGGGGTTTTGGTGTGTGGCCCTGCCACGCAGCAGCTGGAATCAACCCCAGGCTCGGGGGCCCTCCGCAGTGCACAGAGTCCTAACTGCACGGGAATTCCCCTAGGTCCCTTTGAAGTTGCCGCCCACGCCCCCTTTCCCAGCCTGCCTTGCCTTCCGAAACGCCCTGGCTTTTCCCGCCTTTTCACATTCCACATATACGTTGGACTCAATGGCCTCCGCCGGCTCCTCCGGAGCATTCCCGGACACTGGACGCTCTCTCCAGTGCCTCCTCCTAGCTGCCTTAAATCCTTGCCTCCCTTTTCCACATTCCTCCCCACCTCCTCGGTGCCCCCCTGGCATCCTTTCCCGACAGCAGTCCCAGTCCACCGCCCTGCCCACACCCACCCCACGCCCACCCCCACCAAATACACCCAAGTCTTTGACTTGCCAGAAACCCAAGTCTACTGCGAGAGAAGTGATGGGCCAGTGTCTCGAATGGCAACTCACACCGTTTGGGGCTTTTTCAGGTGCACCCTGATGCTTGCACCTCCCCAGCCCACCCCCTACTCAAAGTGCCCTGGGGAGACCTCGGAAACGGGACACTGTACCCACTACTCTTAGGAAGGTGGTTCCACTAAGCCAAGGAAGGAAGCATGCACGTTCTGGACGGAGAGGCGCCCTGACCTGTGCCAACAACTGGACGTGGAAATAGTGTGTGCTTTCTTAAAGAAACGGAGGGCAGAGAGGAGAAGGAGGAGGGAATCAGGAGGCAGGAGCAGACACAGGAGGGAGGAGGTTGCATGAGGCCACACGGGGGATGGCTCTGAACAGGTTCCAATGAATTGAAAAGAAATGAACGAACCACAACACCACACCCACAGCCATCTTTCCCAATGGATTCTTTGGCCACGCAGGTCTCTAAAGCCAACCACGGGGGCTTCACATGGGAACAGTCAGGGGGTTGTATGTACATCGAATCCACCGTGTCTATGAATTCAGGAACGGGTTTGCAAGGAAATCATGCCTGTATGTCTGCGGGTGATGCGGGGATGCTGGTGGCAGGGCGAGCTGAGTCACTACACCGTGAGGATCAGAGAGACACACGGAGATGATTGGCCTTTGCAGCTCTACCAGGCATGTGTGTTGACATGGAGTCTGGTCGTGAAAGCGGTTGTGTGGGTAGGTCCCTACTGCTGGCTCAGAGGATCTGACCTCGGGAAACCCGCCCAGACCAGGCACCCCGAAACCGAGGGAAGCATGTCCCTGACGGAGTATTTTAGGGATACCTGCAGGGATGGCCAGTGGCTAGAAGCTGAGTCCCAGACGGGGGCCCCGCCCCCCTCCCCCAAACGCCCTCTCCCTCCCTCCGTCCCCAAATCTCTCTGTCTCCTTCTCTTCTCTTCCTCCCTCCCTCTCCCACTGAGCCTTCCCCAAGCCTCTCCCTTCTCCCCCACCCTCTCCCTCCATCCACTCGCCCCCTCCCACCTTGCGTTTCCCAGCCTTCTACCTTCCCACTGCTCTATCTCCCACTCCCACTCGCTCGGCTGCCCCTGGCCTAGGGAAGGAGTGCTCCTGTGTGGACTGCTGGAAAGACGCAACCAGAACACAGATGAGTCAGACCAAAAGAACCTGTGCAGAGCACAGGGTTTCTTTATTGGCTCCACAGCATGTCCGTTCTTAGCCACCGTCTTGGTCACTGGAATCCTGCGATTCCTTGAGGCTTCAGGTGGTCTGTGCCTCTTGGAGGGGGCCCATGCTTCCCAAAGGTCCAGCTCTAGTGTATGTCCCCAAAGTTGCTGGTAGTCATCCCGTCTGTTTGCTCCCCACCGCCCCCCCTCCCCCACCTAAAATCTTCCCTACTCCACGACCTCCGTGGCTTGGCCTCTGAAGCAAGGAGACCTGAAAGGGGCTCAGGGGAGATGGTGCCCCTTTCCTTCTTCTCCCTCTAAGCCCGAGGGCCTGGGGAGCCTGGCAGCATGTCCAGGAGTGCCTGGTAATCCTCCTCTCTGAGGGGTGCCTCCAGGATTGCCTCAACTCCTTCTTCGTCCGCAGCGGCCCGCGGTGAAGACCAGGGCGTGTCCTGGATGGACGAGGCAGCCATGATTTCCTCTAGGAGGCTGGGAGACCCGGGGAGGGCTGGATGGTACCCTGGGATGACAGGAGAGGACCCCAGGGAAGGACCCGGCGAGCCCGGGATGCATGTGACGGCCAGGAGCTCATCTTGGAGGCTGGGTGAGCCTGGGAGGGCGAGGTGTGCTCCTGCATCTGCATAGGGCCCCAGGGAAGGCGCCTGCGAGGCCGCAATATCCGTGGCCTCCAAGAGCTGGCCTAGAAAGCTGGGTGTGCCTGGCAGGGCAGGGTGTGCTCCTGCATCTGCAGCGGCCCCCGGGGAAGGCGCCTGCGAGGACCCGAGGCCCGTGGCCTCCAAGAGCTCGTCTAGGAAGCTGGGTGGGTCTGGCAGGGCAGGGTGCACTCCTGCATCTGCACCGGGCTCCGGGGAAGGCGCCTGAGAGTCCTCGATGCCCGTGGCATCCAAGAGCTCGTCTAGGAAGCTGGTTGCAACTGGCAGGGCAGGGTGCGCTCCTGCATCTGCAGCGGCCCCCGGGGAAGGTGCCTGCCAGTCTGCGATGCCCGTGGCTTCCAAGAGCTCGTCAAGGAAGCTGGGTGCGTCTGGCAGGGCAGGGTGCACTTCTGAATCTGCAGCAGCCCCCGGGGAAGGCGCCTGCGTGTCCGGGATGCCTGTGGCCTCCACGAACTCTTCTAGGATGCTGGCTGTGCCTGGGAGGGCAGGGTGTGCTCCTGCATCCGCAGCAGCCCCCGGGGAAGGCGCCTGCCAGTCTGTGATGCCCATGGCCTCCAAGAGCTCGTCTAGGAAGCTGGGTGCGTCTGGCAGGGCAGGGTGCACTCGTGCATCTGCAGCGGCCCCCGGGCAAGGCGCCTGCATGTCCGGGATGCCCGTGGCCTCCACGAACTCTTCTAGGATGCTGGGTTCGCCTGGGAGGGCAGGGTGCACTCGTGCATCTGCAGCGTCCCCCGCGGAAGGCGCCTGCGTTTCCAGGATGCCTGTGGCCGCCAAGAGCTCATCTAGGAGGCTTGTCGATCTTGGAAGGCTGGGCGGATGGGGCTGTGGCTCTAGCAGAGGGGCCGTGCCTTCAGCAACGGGTGACTCTGGCCTCCGCCTGATGTGTGTCTCAGGCTGTAGAGGCGGCAGGATGGCCCCTGGCCCAGGCTGCCAAGGGGCCGTGTCAGCAGGGGAGCACGCGGCCCAGGGCACTGCTACCTGGGGAGGAGGTGGTGGCTTCTCACTTGGCTGGAGAGCCATCGGGCTGGGCTGGATCACGAAGAACATCAACGGCTGGCCCACACAGACCCCAGAGGCAGTCCCGGGCACCCAGAAGGTGGGGGCGCCCAAAGGAGCGGCTGCAGCCAAGGGTGGCATGCTCTCCTGTGTCTGAGAGGGGCCAAGGGGAGGAGAGGTGCTGTGGACAGCGGGTGGGGCCCTTCGGTCCTCTGGAGCAGGAGCGGTCGTGGCCGATGCGCCGCCTGGTCCTCGGGCCCGGACATTGCCAGGCCCCCTTGCGCTCTGCTGGGGGTGCCGAGCTCTTCGGTTTTGAAACCATATCTAGGGGAGCAAAAGGCAGACAGGCACATCAGAAGCCGTGACCGTCCAGATCAACGTGCTGGCGCCTCCGCGGCACCCATTTGTCACCCCGCCTGGCGGCCCGTCCTCTGATCTGGCAGGCCCAGGGCGAGTTCTGCAGGGCCATTTTCTGCAAACGAATCCCTGGGCCCTGGGAGATGAGGAGCGCCTGCACGGCAACAAGCGGCACAAAACCCACCACTCAGCCCACCAACTTTCGGCCCCCTCCCCCCAGCCCAAGCCCCGGCCCAAGCCGACGTGTATCCAGCTCCAAACGCTTGGCAGGGCTGAACGCGCCCGTCTCCTGGGCCACGGCCTGGGCCCATGCGCTGGCTGGAGAACTTACCTGGATTCGAGGTTCTGGGATTCCCGTCTGACGAGCCAGTTCTTCCCTGGCGGCAATCCCTGGAAAGCGATCCCTCGTGAAGGCTTGCACAAGGATCCTTGTTTGAGAAGGAGAGATGGCTGTCCTCTTTCTCCTGGCCTCTCTGGCCGAGTCTTCTACCAAGGAAAGAACACACCGAGAGGAGAGGACTTTAAGGCCCATGGAACCTTGACAGCACAGATACCCTAGACGGTGTGCAGGGGCTGGACAGTCCCACACACCTGAATCACTTCAGGTGGCTCTGAAGCCGGGGCAGGGTTCTACGGAATACACCCACAGATGGATCTCGTGCCTGGATCCATGGTGCAGGTGTGCGTGCACACATGCACACTCGGCACACATGCATGCCCCTGTGTGTCTCTTTGTTCCTCCGGACATGCCGCGGAGTGCCCTGAAGCCTGCTCCTTGGCCAAGGTTGCCTGGGCAGCCGGAGGCTAAAGTTCCCGACGGGGACTCGGGAGGGGGTGCAAAGGGGGAACAGTGCTGCCCGTCCACGCCGCCTGGGGGCATGGTGGGCCTATCTGGGTCGCTGATGGGGGACGCAACCAGATGGCCCTGTTTCCTCCCTGCTTGGTGTTTCTGAGCCTCCGGTGGTCATCCACCAGCAGAGAGAATTCTCTGTCAAGAGGGGGAGGATTCGGGACCCCCCTCTGGGGGTCTTGCCTTTGCAGAACGCTGGGTAACTTACCTTGAGTGGAAGACTGAGGTCGACGAGGTGTCGACGGTGGCCTGGCCGTGGACCCTGGCGCCCCTTCCCCGTCTTGGCGCATATTTGCAGACGGCGATCGGCTCTGCTTTAACCGTCTTCTTCGTTGGTTCTGAAACCAGACCTAGGGGCAAACAGAGAGAATACGTTCTCAAGAGAAAGGCCTCCGGGTGCTTTCTGCTGACGCGGATCGGCACGGGGAGCCTGAGAGGGAGAACGGGTGGAGAGAGGGGGCCCTACCTGAACTCTGCTTTCGGCAATGCCAAGCTCTCGGGCCAGTCGTTCTCTGGTCGCTATCCCAGGGTAGGGGTTCTGTTGAAAGAGCGCTTGCAGGGTGTCCTTCTGGCTCAGCTTCAGAACGAGCCTCCTCCTTCGAGATCCTCTGGCGATGGGGCCTGTGGAAGAGACGAAAGGGAAAAGTCTCAGAGGACGTGGGGTTTGGAGAGGACTCGACGGAAGTGCCCAAGCATGCTCCCCACCCAGGGCAGTTGCCCCTGTGCCTCAGCAAAGCCGGGAGCCCGGGGACGCCTCTGCATTTGGAAGTCACTTGACTACACCCCGAGTGACAGGCCGAGAGTCAAGGGCAGTGGGGAAATCCCCCAACCCCCGACCCACGCTGGAGTCCGAGGAACACCAGCAAGCAGAAAGGAAGCCAAACCCGCCCCTGAAACAAAGCTGGCAAGAAATCCCACCCACCAAAGACCAGCACACCATGCAGCCTGTCTGCAGAGACATTTTTCCACCTGCCTCAGCAGATGCCTGGGAAATGTCTTGATGGGGCCTCTCCCAAAATTCCCTCCATCACAATGCCAATGGAGGGGAACCTGGCTTCTCGGGGCTAAGAGGAGCCCAGGCCATATTTGCCGTCACTAGGGGAACAGGAAAGGAAGAGGGAAGGAAGCCAAGGCGAAGCCCAACATGCAACGCCTGACGGAAGACAGAAGGCACTAGGCCATTGTGGACAGAAAGCCACTGAAGTTGGCAAAGCCACAGAGCTCCCCGACGTCCATTTCCATGGCAAGATGAGGAAATAGGGCCCCATGCCAGTTCCCCTACCGGCCCCCCTAACACACAACCAACACCATCATCACAGAAAAGAGAAAGGAGAAGCCATGTGTGTGCCAAAGGAGCCAAACGACCAAACGGTGCCTCTCTGGGCACACCTGACGCCTGGAAACCAGGGGCCCAGCCGATCGGTCCCTGGCTTTCTTGGCGGTCAGTCGACACGTTTGCAGTGAACCCTTGGCCGGGCTATCCACAGACCCACCCCCCACCCCCACCCCGAGACCTGATCCGACCCCAGGGAGCGAGGGCAAACGTACCGCCTGAGGTGCTGGAGGAGCTGGACGAAGCCATGGTGGGAGAGCCACAGGGACGCTGCAGACTGCCTTCTCAGTGGGCCAGGACCCAGCTGCTCGGGACTTTGGATAGGGTGAGGCAGCTCTGCCCCTATTGACGTCAATCCTTGTGGGTGCATAGTCAGAAGGGACGCCCCTGGCCGCCAAGCAGAGACCCTGGAAAGAATCCCGTGGAGCCAGTGGGCTTTCACGGGCACGGCCCGCGACCCAGACTCCCAAGGTCCACGTTGGCCTGGGGGCGGTGGGCGTTGGGGGTTTTGGTGTGTGGCCCTGCCACGCAGCAGCTGGAATCAACCCCAGGCTCGGGGGCCCTCCGCAGTGCACAGAGTCCTAACTGCACGGGAATTCCCCTAGGTCCCTTTGAAGTTGCCGCCCACGCCCCCTTTCCCAGCCTGCCTTGCCTTCCGAAACGCCCTGGCTTTTCCCGCCTTTTCACATTCCACATATACGTTGGACTCAATGGCCTCCGCCGGCTCCTCCGGAGCATTCCCGGACACTGGACGCTCTCTCCAGTGCCTCCTCCTAGCTGCCTTAAATCCTTGCCTCCCTTTTCCACATTCCTCCCCACCTCCTCGGTGCCCCCCTGGCATCCTTTCCCGACAGCAGTCCCAGTCCACCGCCCTGCCCACACCCACCCCACGCCCACCCCCACCAAATACACCCAAGTCTTTGACTTGCCAGAAACCCAAGTCTACTGCGAGAGATGTGATGGGCCAGTGTCTCGAATGGCAACTCACACCGTTTGGGGCTTTTTCAGGTGCACCCTGATGCTTGCACCTCCCCAGCCCACCCCCTACACAAAGTGCCCTGGGGAGACCTCGGAAACGGGACACTGTACCCACTACTCTTAGGAACGTGGTTCCACTAAGCCAAGGAAGGAAGCATGCACGTTCTGGACGGAGAGGCGCCCTGACTTGTGCCAACAACTGGACGTGGAAATAGTGTGTGCTTTCTTAAAGAAACGGAGGGCAGAGAGGAGAAGGAGGAGGGAATCAGGAGGCAGGAGCAGACACAGGAGGGAGGAGGTTGCATGAGGCCACACGGGGGATGGCTCTGAACAGGTTCCAATGAATTGAAAAGAAATGAACGAACCACAACACCACACCCACAGCCATCTTTCCCAATGGATTCTTTGGCCACGCAGGTCTCTAAAGCCAACCACGGGGGCTTCACATGGGAACAGTCAGGGGGTTGTATGTACATCGAATCCACCGTGTCTATGAATTCAGGAACGGGTTTGCAAGGAAATCATGCCTGTATGTCTGCAGGTGATGCGGGGATGCTGGTGGCAGGGCGAGATGAGTCACTACACCGTGAGGATCAGAGAGACACACGGAGATGATTGGCCTTTGCAGCTCTACCAGGCATGTGTGTTGACATGGAGTCTGGTCGTGAAAGCGGTTGTGTGGGTAGGTCCCTACTGCTGGCTCAGAGGATCTGACCTCGGGAAACCCGCCCAGACCAGGCACCCCGAAACCGAGGGAAGCATGTCCCTGACGGAGTATTTTAGGGATACCTGCAGAGATGGCCAGTGGCTAGAAGCTGAGTCCCAGACGGGGGCCCCGCCCCCCTCCCCCAAACGCCCTCTCCCTCCCTCCGTCCCCAAATCTCTCTGTCTCCTTCTCTTCTCTTCCTCCCTCCCTCTCCCACTGAGCCTTCCCCAAGCCTCTCCCTTCTTCCCCACCCTCTCCATCCATCCACTCGCCCCCTCCCACCTTGCATTTCCCAGCCTTCTACCTTCCCACTGCTCTATCTCCCACTCCCACTCGCTCGGCTGCCCCTGGCCTAGGGAAGGAGTGCTCCTGTGTGGACTGTTGGAAAGACGCAACCAGAACACACATGAGTCAGACCAAAAGAACCTGTGCAGAGCACAGGGTTTCTTTATTGGCTCCACAGCATGTCCGTTCTTAGCCACCTTCTTGCTCACTGGAATCCTGCGATTCCTTGAGGCTTCAGGTGGTCTGTGCCTCTTGGAGGGGGCCCATGCTTCCCAAAGGTCCAGCTCTAGTGTATGTCCCCAAAGTTGCTGGTAGTCATCCCGTCTGTTTGCTCCCCACCGCCGCCCCCCCACCTAAAATCTTCCCTACTCCACGACCTCCGTGGCTTGGCCTCTGAAGCAAGGAGACCTGAAAGGGGCTCAGGGGAGATGGTGCCCCTTTCCTTCTTCTCCCTCTAAGTCCGAGGGCCTGGGGAGCCTGGCAGCATGTCCAGGAGTGCCTGGTAATCCTCCTCTCTGAGGGGTGCCTCCAGGATTGCCTCAACTCCTTCTTCGTCCGCAGCGGCCCGCGGTGAAGACCAGGGCGTGTCCTGGATGGACGAGGCAGCCATGATTTCCTCTAGGAGGCTGGGAGACCCGGGGAGGGCTGGATGGTACCCTGGGATGACAGGAGAGGACCCCAGGGAAGGACCCGGCGAGCCCGGGATGCATGTGACGGCCAGGAGCTCATCTTGGAGGCTGGGTGAGCCTGGGAGGGCGAGGTGTGCTCCTGCATCTGCATAGGGCCCCAGGGAAGGCGCCTGCGAGGCCGCAATATCCGTGGCCTCCAAGAGCTGGCCTAGAAAGCTGGGTGTGCCTGGCAGGGCAGGGTGTGCTCCTGCATCTGCAGCGGCCCCCGGGGAAGGCGCCTGCGAGGACCCGAGGCCCGTGGCCTCCAAGAGCTCGTCTAGGAAGCTGGGTGGGTCTGGCAGGGCAGGGTGCACTCCTGCATCTGCACCGGGCTCCGGGGAAGGCGCCTGAGAGTCCTCGATGCCCGTGGCATCCAAGAGCTCGTCTAGGAAGCTGGTTGCAACTGGCAGGGCAGGGTGCGCTCCTGCATCTGCAGCGGCCCCCGGGGAAGGTGCCTGCCAGTCTGCGATGCCCGTGGCTTCCAAGAGCTCGTCAAGGAAGCTGGGTGCGTCTGGCAGGGCAGGGTGCACTTCTGAATCTGCAGCAGCCCCCGGGGAAGGCGCCTGCGTGTCCGGGATGCCTGTGGCCTCCACGAACTCTTCTAGGATGCTGGCTGTGCCTGGGAGGGCAGGGTGTGCTCCTGCATCCGCAGCAGCCCCCGGGGAAGGCGCCTGCCAGTCTGTGATGCCCATGGCCTCCAAGAGCTCGTCTAGGAAGCTGGGTGCGTCTGGCAGGGCAGGGTGCACTCGTGCATCTGCAGCGGCCCCCGGGCAAGGCGCCTGCATGTCCGGGATGCCCGTGGCCTCCACGAACTCTTCTAGGATGCTGGGTTCGCCTGGGAGGGCAGGGTGCACTCGTGCATCTGCAGCGTCCCCCGCGGAAGGCGCCTGCGTTTCCAGGATGCCGGTGGCCGCCAAGAGCTCATCTAGGAGGCTTGTCGATCTTGGAAGGCTGGGCGGATGGGGCTGTGGCTCTAGCAGAGGGGCCGTGCCTTCAGCAACGGGTGACTCTGGCCTCCGCCTGATGTGTGTCTCAGGCTGTAGAGGCGGCAGGATGGCCCCTGGCCCAGGCTGCCAAGGGGCCGTGTCAGCAGGGGAGCACGCGGCCCAGGGCACTGCTACCTGGGGAGGAGGTGGTGGCTTCTCACTTGGCTGGAGAGCCATCGGGCTGGGCTGGATCACGAAGAACATCAACGGCTGGCCCACACAGACCCCAGAGGCAGTCCCGGGCACCCAGAAGGTGGGGGCGCCCAAAGGAGCGGCTGCAGCCAAGGGTGGCATGCTCTCCTGTGTCTGAGAGGGGCCAAGGGGAGGAGAGGTGCTGTGGACAGCGGGTGGGGCCCTTCGGTCCCCTGGAGCAGGAGCGGTCGTGGCCGATGCGCCGCCTGGTCCTCGGGCCCGGACATTGCCAGGCCCCCTTGCTCTCTGCTGGGGGTGCCGAGCTCTTCGGTTTTGAAACCATATCTAGGGGAGCAAAAGGCAGACAGGCACATCAGAAGCCGTGACCGTCCAGATCAACGTGCTGGCGCCTCCGCGGCACCCATTTGTCACCCCGCCTGGCGGCCCGTCCTCTGATCTGGCAGACCCAGGGCGAGTTCTGCAGGGCCATTTTCTGCAAACGAATCCCTGGGCCCTGGGAGATGAGGAGCGCCTGCACGGCAACAAGTGGCACAAAACCCACCACTAAGCCCACCAACTTTCGGCCCCCTCCCCCCAGCCCAAGCCCCGGCCCAAGCCGACGTGTATCCAGCTCCAAACGCTTGGCAGGGCTGAACGCGCCCGTCTCCTGGGCCACGGCCTGGGCCCATGCGCTGGCTGGAGAACTTACCTGGATTCGAGGTTCTGGGATTCCCGTCTGACGAGCCAGTTCTTCCCTGGCGGCAATCCCTGGAAAGCGATCCCTCGTGAAGGCTTGCACAAGGATCCTTGTTTGAGAAGGAGAGATGGCTGTCCTCTTTCTCCTGGCCTCTCTGGCCGAGTCTTCTACCAAGGAAAGAACACACCGAGAGGAGAGGACTTTAAGGCCCATGGAACCTTGACAGCACAGATACCCTGGACGGTGTGCAGGGGCTGGACAGTCCCACACACCTGAATCACTTCAGGTGGCTCTGAAGCCGGGGCAGGGTTCTACGGAATACACCCACAGATGGATCTCGTGCCTGGATCCATGGTGCAGGTGTGCGTGCACACATGCACACTCGGCACACATGCATGCCCCTGTGTGTCTCTTTGTTCCTCCGGACTTGCCGCGGAGTGCCCTGAAGCCTGCTCCTTGGCCAAGGTTGCCTGGGCAGCCGGAGGCTAAAGTTCCCGACGGGGACTCGGGAGGGGGTGCAAAGGGGGAACAGTGCTGCCCGTCCACGCCGCCTGGGGGCATGGTGGCCCTATCTGGGTCGCTGATGGGGGACGCAACCAGATGGCCCTGTTTCCTCCCTGCTTGGTGTTTCTGAGCCTCCGGTGGTCATCCACCAGCAGAGAGAATTCTCTGTCAAGAGGGGGAGGATTCGGGACCCCCCTCTGGGGGTCTTGCCTTTGCAGAACGCTGGGTAACTTACCTTGAGTGGAAGACTGAGGTCGACGAGGTGTCGACGGTGGCCTGGCCGTGGACCCTGGCGCCCCTTCCCCGTCTTGGCGCATATTTGCAGACGGCGATCGGCTCTGCTTTAACCGTCTTCTTCGTTGGTTCTGAAACCAGACCTAGGGGCAAACAGAGAGAATACGTTCTCAAGAGAAAGGCCTCCGGGTGCTTACTGCTGACGCGGATCGGCACGGGGAGCCTGAGAGGGAGAACGGGTGGAGAGAGGGGGCCCTACCTGAACTCTGCTTTCGGCAATGCCAAGCTCTCGGGCCAGTCGTTCTCTGGTCGCTATCCCAGGGTAGGGGTTCTGTTGAAAGAGCGCTTGCAGGGTGTCCTTCTGGCTCAGCTTCAGAACGAGCCTCCTCCTTCGAGATCCTCTGGCGATGGGGCCTGTGGAAGAGACGAAAGGGAAAAGTCTCAGAGGACGTGGGGTTTGGAGAGGACTCGACGGAAGTGCCCAACCATGCTCCCCACCCAGGGCAGTTGCCCCTGTGCCTCAGCAAAGCCGGGAGCCCGGGGACGCCTCTGCATTTGGAAGTCACTTGACTACACCCCGAGTGACAGGCCGAGAGTCAAGGGCAGTGGGGAAATCCCCCAACCCCCGACCCACGCTGGAGTCTGAGGAACACCAGCAAGCAGAAAGGAAGCCAAACCCGCCCCTGAAACAAAGCTGGCAAGAAATCCCACCCACCAGAGACCAGCACACCATGCAGCCTGTCTGCAGAGACATTTTTCCACCTGCCTCAGCAGATGCCTGGGAAATGTCTTGATGGGGCCTCTCCCAAAATTCCCTCCATCACAATGCCAATGGAGGGGAACCTGGCTTCTCGGGGCTAAGAGGAGCCCAGGCCATATTTGCCGTCACTAGGGGAACAGGAAAGGAAGAGGGAAGGAAGCCAAGGCGAAGCCCAACATGCAACGCCTGACGGAAGACAGAAGGCACTAGGCCATTGTGGACAGAAAGCCACTGAGGTTGGCAAAGCCACAGAGCTCCCCGACGTCCATTTCCATGGCAAGATGAGGAAATAGGGCCCCATGCCAGTTCCCCTACCGGCCCCCCTAACACACAACCAACACCATCATCACAGAAAAGAGAAAGGAGAAGCCATGTGTGTGCCAAAGGAGCCAAACGACCAAACGGTGCCTCTCTGGGCACACCTGACGCCTGGAAACCAGGGGCCCAGCCGATCGGTCCCTGGCTTTCTTGGCGGTCAGTCGACACGTTTGCAGTGAACCCTTGGCCGGGCTATCCACAGACCCACCCCCCACCCCCACCCCGAGACCTGATCCGACCCCAGGGAGCGAGGGCAAACGTACCGCCTGAGGTGCTGGAGGAGCTGGACGAAGCCATGGTGGGAGAGCCACAGGGACGCTGCAGACTGCCTTCTCAGTGGGCCAGGACCCAGCTGCTCGGGACTTTGGATAGGGTGAGGCAGCTCCGCCCCTATTCACGTCAATCGTGGTGGGTGCTTAGTCAGAGGGGACGCCCCTGGCCTCCAAGCAGAGACCCTGGAAAGAATCCCGTGGAGCCAGTGGGCTTTCACGGGCACGGCCCACGACCCAGACTCCCAAGGTCCACGTTGGCCTGGGGGCGGTGGGCGTTGGGGGTTTTGGTGTGTGGCCCTGCCACGCAGCAGCTGGAATCAACCCCAGGCTCGGGGGCCCTCCGCAGTGCACAGAGTCCTAACTGCACGGGAATTCCCCTAGGTCCCTTTGAAGTTGCCGCCCACGCCCCCTTTCCCAGCCTGCCTTGCCTTCCGAAACGCCCTGGCTTTTCCCGCCTTTTCACATTCCACATATACGTTGGACTCAATGGCCTCCGCCGGCTCCTCCGGAGCATTCCCGGACACTGGACGCTCTCTCCAGTGCCTCCTCCTAGCTGCCTTAAATCCTTGCCTCCCTTTTCCACATTCCTCCCCACCTCCTCGGTGCCCCCCTGGCATCCTTTCCCGACAGCAGTCCCAGTCCACCGCCCTGCCCACACCCACCCCACGCCCACCCCCACCAAATACACCCAAGTCTTTGACTTGCCAGAAACCCAAGTCTACTGCGAGAGAAGTGATGGGCCAGTGTCTCGAATGGCAACTCACACCGTTTGGGGCTTTTTCAGGTGCACCCTGATGCTTGCACCTCCCCAGCCCACCCCCTACTCAAAGTGCCCTGGGGAGACCTCGGAAACGGGACACTGTACCCACTACTCTTAGGAAGGTGGTTCCACTAAGCCAAGGAAGGAAGCATGCATGTTCTGGACGGAGAGGCGCCCTGACCTGTGCCAACAACTGGACGTGGAAATAGTGTGTGCTTTCTTAAAGAAACGGAGGGCAGAGAGGAGAAGGAGGAGGGAATCAGGAGGCAGGAGCAGACACAGGAGGGAGGAGGTTGCATGAGGCCACACGGGGGATGGCTCTGAACAGGTTCCAATGAATTGAAAAGAAATGAACGAACCACAACACCACACCCACAGCCATCTTTCCCAATGGATTCTTTGGCCACGCAGGTCTCTAAAGCCAACCACGGGGGCTTCACATGGGAACAGTCAGGGGGTTGTATGTACATCGAATCCACCGTGTCTATGAATTCAGGAACGGGTTTGCAAGGAAATCATGCCTGTATGTCTGCGGGTGATGCGGGGATGCTGGTGGCAGGGCGAGCTGAGTCACTACACCGTGAGGATCAGAGAGACACACGGAGATGATTGGCCTTTGCAGCTCTACCAGGCATGTGTGTTGACATGGAGTCTGGTCGTGAAAGCGGTTGTGTGGGTAGGTCCCTACTGCTGGCTCAGAGGATCTGACCTCGGGAAACCCGCCCAGACCAGGCACCCCGAAACCGAGGGAAGCATGTCCCTGACGGAGTATTTTAGGGATACCTGCAGGGATGGCCAGTGGCTAGAAGCTGAGTCCCAGACGGGGGCCCCGCCCCCCTCCCCCAAACGCCCTCTCCCTCCCTCCGTCCCCAAATCTCTCTGTCTCCTTCTCTTCTCTTCCTCCCTCCCTCTCCCACTGAGCCTTCCCCAAGCCTCTCCCTTCTCCCCCACCCTCTCCCTCCATCCACTCGCCCCCTCCCACCTTGCGTTTCCCAGCCTTCTACCTTCCCACTGCTCTATCTCCCACTCCCACTCGCTCGGCTGCCCCTGGCCTAGGGAAGGAGTGCTCCTGTGTGGACTGCTGGAAAGACGCAACCAGAACACAGATGAGTCAGACCAAAAGAACCTGTGCAGAGCACAGGGTTTCTTTATTGGCTCCACAGCATGTCCGTTCTTAGCCACCGTCTTGGTCACTGGAATCCTGCGATTCCTTGAGGCTTCAGGTGGTCTGTGCCTCTTGGAGGGGGCCCATGCTTCCCAAAGGTCCAGCTCTAGTGTATGTCCCCAAAGTTGCTGGTAGTCATCCCGTCTGTTTGCTCCCCACCGCCCCCCCTCCCCCACCTAAAATCTTCCCTACTCCACGACCTCCGTGGCTTGGCCTCTGAAGCAAGGAGACCTGAAAGGGGCTCAGGGGAGATGGTGCCCCTTTCCTTCTTCTCCCTCTAAGCCCGAGGGCCTGGGGAGCCTGGCAGCATGTCCAGGAGTGCCTGGTAATCCTCCTCTCTGAGGGGTGCCTCCAGGATTGCCTCAACTCCTTCTTCGTCCGCAGCGGCCCGCGGTGAAGACCAGGGCGTGTCCTGGATGGACGAGGCAGCCATGATTTCCTCTAGGAGGCTGGGAGACCCGGGGAGGGCTGGATGGTACCCTGGGATGACAGGAGAGGACCCCAGGGAAGGACCCGGCGAGCCCGGGATGCATGTGACGGCCAGGAGCTCATCTTGGAGGCTGGGTGAGCCTGGGAGGGCGAGGTGTGCTCCTGCATCTGCATAGGGCCCCAGGGAAGGCGCCTGCGAGGCCGCAATATCCGTGGCCTCCAAGAGCTGGCCTAGAAAGCTGGGTGTGCCTGGCAGGGCAGGGTGTGCTCCTGCATCTGCAGCGGCCCCCGGGGAAGGCGCCTGCGAGGACCCGAGGCCCGTGGCCTCCAAGAGCTCGTCTAGGAAGCTGGGTGGGTCTGGCAGGGCAGGGTGCACTCCTGCATCTGCACCGGGCTCCGGGGAAGGCGCCTGAGAGTCCTCGATGCCCGTGGCATCCAAGAGCTCGTCTAGGAAGCTGGTTGCAACTGGCAGGGCAGGGTGCGCTCCTGCATCTGCAGCGGCCCCCGGGGAAGGTGCCTGCCAGTCTGCGATGCCCGTGGCTTCCAAGAGCTCGTCAAGGAAGCTGGGTGCGTCTGGCAGGGCAGGGTGCACTTCTGAATCTGCAGCAGCCCCCGGGGAAGGCGCCTGCGTGTCCGGGATGCCTGTGGCCTCCACGAACTCTTCTAGGATGCTGGCTGTGCCTGGGAGGGCAGGGTGTGCTCCTGCATCCGCAGCAGCCCCGGGGGAAGGCGCCTGCCAGTCTGTGATGCCCATGGCCTCCAAGAGCTCGTCTAGGAAGCTGGGTGCGTCTGGCAGGGCAGGGTGCACTCGTGCATCTGCAGCGGCCCCCGGGCAAGGCGCCTGCATGTCCGGGATGCCCGTGGCCTCCACGAACTCTTCTAGGATGCTGGGTTCGCCTGGGAGGGCAGGGTGCACTCGTGCATCTGCAGCGTCCCCCGCGGAAGGCGCCTGCGTTTCCAGGATGCCGGTGGCCGCCAAGAGCTCATCTAGGAGGCTTGTCGATCTTGGAAGGCTGGGCGGATGGGGCTGTGGCTCTAGCAGAGGGGCCGTGCCTTCAGCAACGGGTGACTCTGGCCTCCGCCTGATGTGTGTCTCAGGCTGTAGAGGCGGCAGGATGGCCCCTGGCCCAGGCTGCCAAGGGGCCGTGTCAGCAGGGGAGCACGCGGCCCAGGGCACTGCTACCTGGGGAGGAGGTGGTGGCTTCTCACTTGGCTGGAGAGACATCGGGCTGGGCTGGATCACGAAGAACATCAACGGCTGGCCCACACAGACCCCAGAGGCAGTCCCGGGCACCCAGAAGGTGGGGGCGCCCAAAGGAGCGGCTGCAGCCAAGGGTGGCATGCTCTCCTGTGTCTGAGAGGGGCCAAGGGGAGGAGAGGTGCTGTGGACAGCGGGTGGGGCCCTTCGGTCCTCTGGAGCAGGAGCGGTCGTGGCCGATGCGCCGCCTGGTCCTCGGGCCCGGACATTGCCAGGCCCCCTTGCGCTCTGCTGGGGGTGCCGAGCTCTTCGGTTTTGAAACCATATCTAGGGGAGCAAAAGGCAGACAGGCACATCAGAAGCCGTGACCGTCCAGATCAACGTGCTGGCGCCTCCGCGGCACCCATTTGTCACCCCGCCTGGCGGCCCGTCCTCTGATCTGGCAGGCCCAGGGCGAGTTCTGCAGGGCCATTTTCTGCAAACGAATCCCTGGGCCCTGGGAGATGAGGGGCGCCTGCACGGCAACAAGCGGCACAAAACCCACCACTCAGCCCACCAACTTTCGGCCCCCTCCCCCCAGCCCAAGCCCCGGCCCAAGCCGACGTGTATCCAGCTCCAAACGCTTGGCAGGGCTGAACGCGCCCGTCTCCTGGGCCACGGCCTGGGCCCATGCGCTGGCTGGAGAACTTACCTGGATTCGAGGTTCTGGGATTCCCGTCTGACGAGCCAGTTCTTCCCTGGCGGCAATCCCTGGAAAGCGATCCCTCGTGAAGGCTTGCACAAGGATCCTTGTTTGAGAAGGAGAGATGGCTGTCCTCTTTCTCCTGGCCTCTCTGGCCGAGTCTTCTACCAAGGAAAGAACACACCGAGAGGAGAGGACTTTAAGGCCCATGGAACCTTGACAGCACAGATACCCTGGACGGTGTGCAGGGGCTAGACAGTCCCACACACCTGAATCACTTCAGGTGGCTCTGAAGCCGGGGCAGGGTTCTACGGAATACACCCACAGATGGATCTCGTGCCTGGATCCATGGTGCAGGTGTGCGTGCACACATGCACACTCGGCACACATGCATGCCCCTGTGTGTCTCTTTGTTCCTCCGGACTTGCCGCGGAGTGCCCTGAAGCCTGCTCCTTGGCCAAGGTTGCCTGGGCAGCCGGAGGCTAAAGTTCCCGACGGGGACTCGGGAGGGGGTGCAAAGGGGGAACAGTGCTGCCCGTCCACGCCGCCTGGGGGCATGGTGGGCCTATCTGGGTCGCTGATGGGGGACGCAACCAGATGGCCCTGTTTCCTCCCTGCTTGGTGTTTCTGAGCCTCCGGTGGTCATCCACCAGCAGAGAGAATTCTCTGTCAAGAGGGGGAGGATTCGGGACCCCCCTCTGGGGGTCTTGCCTTTGCAGAACGCTGGGTAACTTACCTTGAGTGGAAGACTGAGGTCGACGAGGTGTCGACGGTGGCCTGGCCGTGGACCCTGGCGCCCCTTCCCCGTCTTGGCGCATATTTGCAGACGGCGATCGGCTCTGCTTTAACCGTCTTCTTCGTTGGTTCTGAAACCAGACCTAGGGGCAAACAGAGAGAATACGTTCTCAAGAGAAAGGCCTCCGGGTGCTTTCTGCTGACGCGGATCGGCACGGGGAGCCTGAGAGGGAGAACGGGTGGAGAGAGGGGGCCCTACCTGAACTCTGCTTTCGGCAATGCCAAGCTCTCGGGCCAGTCGTTCTCTGGTCGCTATCCCAGGGTAGGGGTTCTGTTGAAAGAGCGCTTGCAGGGTGTCCTTCTGGCTCAGCTTCAGAACGAGCCTCCTCCTTCGAGATCCTCTGGCGATGGGGCCTGTGGAAGAGACGAAAGGGAAAAGTCTCAGAGGACGTGGGGTTTGGAGAGGACTCGACGGAAGTGCCCAAGCATGCTCCCCACCCAGGGCAGTTGCCCCTGTGCCTCAGCAAAGCCGGGAGCCCGGGGACGCCTCTGCATTTGGAAGTCACTTGACTACACCCCGAGTGACAGGCCGAGAGTCAAGGGCAGTGGGGAAATCCCCCAACCCCCGACCCACGCTGGAGTCCGAGGAACACCAGCAAGCAGAAAGGAAGCCAAACCCGCCCCTGAAACAAAGCTGGCAAGAAATCCCACCCACCAAAGACCAGCACACCATGCAGCCTGTCTGCAGAGACATTTTTCCACCTGCCTCAGCAGATGCCTGGGAAATGTCTTGATGGGGCCTCTCCCAAAATTCCCTCCATCACAATGCCAATGGAGGGGAACCTGGCTTCTCGGGGCTAAGAGGAGCCCAGGCCATATTTGCCGTCACTAGGGGAACAGGAAAGGAAGAGGGAAGGAAGCCAAGGCGAAGCCCAACATGCAACGCCTGACGGAAGACAGAAGGCACTAGGCCATTGTGGACAGAAAGCCACTGAAGTTGGCAAAGCCACAGAGCTCCCCGACGTCCATTTCCATGGCAAGATGAGGAAATAGGGCCCCATGCCAGTTCCCCTACCGGCCCCCCTAACACACAACCAACACCATCATCACAGAAAAGAGAAAGGAGAAGCCATGTGTGTGCCAAAGGAGCCAAACGACCAAACGGTGCCTCTCTGGGCACACCTGACGCCTGGAAACCAGGGGCCCAGCCGATCGGTCCCTGGCTTTCTTGGCGGTCAGTCGACACGTTTGCAGTGAACCCTTGGCCGGGCTATCCACAGACCCACCCCCCACCCCCACCCCGAGACCTGATCCGACCCCAGGGAGCGAGGGCAAACGTACCGCCTGAGGTGCTGGAGGAGCTGGACGAAGCCATGGTGGGAGAGCCACAGGGACGCTGCAGACTGCCTTCTCAGTGGGCCAGGACCCAGCTGCTCGGGACTTTGGATAGGGTGAGGCAGCTCCGCCCCTATTCACGTCAATCGTGGTGGGTGCTTAGTCAGAGGGGACGCCCCTGGCCTCCAAGCAGAGACCCTGGAAAGAATCCCGTGGAGCCAGTGGGCTTTCACGGGCACGGCCCGCGACCCAGACTCCCAAGGTCCACGTTGGCCTGGGGGCGGTGGGCGTTGGGGGTTTTGGTGTGTGGCCCTGCCACGCAGCAGCTGGAATCAACCCCAGGCTCGGGGGCCCTCCGCAGTGCACAGAGTCCTAACTGCACGGGAATTCCCCTAGGTCCCTTTGAAGTTGCCGCCCACGCCCCCTTTCCCAGCCTGCCTTGCCTTCCGAAACGCCCTGGCTTTTCCCGCCTTTTCACATTCCACATATACGTTGGACTCAATGGCCTCCGCCGGCTCCTCCGGAGCATTCCCGGACACTGGACGCTCTCTCCAGTGCCTCCTCCTAGCTGCCTTAAATCCTTGCCTCCCTTTTCCACATTCCTCCCCACCTCCTCGGTGCCCCCCTGGCATCCTTTCCCGACAGCAGTCCCAGTCCACCGCCCTGCCCACACCCACCCCACGCCCACCCCCACCAAATACACCCAAGTCTTTGACTTGCCAGAAACCCAAGTCTACTGCGAGAGAAGTGATGGGCCAGTGTCTCGAATGGCAACTCACACCGTTTGGGGCTTTTTCAGGTGCACCCTGATGCTTGCACCTCCCCAGCCCACCCCCTACTCAAAGTGCCCTGGGGAGACCTCGGAAACGGGACACTGTACCCACTACTCTTAGGAAGGTGGTTCCACTAAGCCAAGGAAGGAAGCATGCACGTTCTGGACGGAGAGGCGCCCTGACCTGTGCCAACAACTGGACGTGGAAATAGTGTGTGCTTTCTTAAAGAAACGGAGGGCAGAGAGGAGAAGGAGGAGGGAATCAGGAGGCAGGAGCAGACACAGGAGGGAGGAGGTTGCATGAGGCCACACGGGGGATGGCTCTGAACAGGTTCCAATGAATTGAAAAGAAATGAACGAACCACAACACCACACCCACAGCCATCTTTCCCAATGGATTCTTTGGCCACGCAGGTCTCTAAAGCCAACCACGGGGGCTTCACATGGGAACAGTCAGGGGGTTGTATGTACATCGAATCCACCGTGTCTATGAATTCAGGAACGGGTTTGCAAGGAAATCATGCCTGTAGGTCTGCGGGTGATGCGGGGATGCTGGTGGCAGGGCGAGCTGAGTCACTACACCGTGAGGATCAGAGAGACACACGGAGATGATTGGCCTTTGCAGCTCTACCAGGCATGTGTGTTGACATGGAGTCTGGTCGTGAAAGCGGTTGTGTGGGTAGGTCCCTACTGCTGGCTCAGAGGATCTGACCTCGGGAAACCCGCCCAGACCAGGCACCCCGAAACCGAGGGAAGCATGTCCCTGACGGAGTATTTTAGGGATACCTGCAGGGATGGCCAGTGGCTAGAAGCTGAGTCCCAGACGGGGGCCCCGCCCCCCTCCCCCAAACGCCCTCTCCCTCCCTCCGTCCCCAAATCTCTCTGTCTCCTTCTCTTCTCTTCCTCCCTCCCTCTCCCACTGAGCCTTCCCCAAGCCTCTCCCTTCTCCCCCACCCTCTCCCTCCATCCACTCGCCCCCTCCCACCTTGCGTTTCCCAGCCTTCTACCTTCCCACTGCTCTATCTCCCACTCCCACTCGCTCGGCTGCCCCTGGCCTAGGGAAGGAGTGCTCCTGTGTGGACTGCTGGAAAGACGCAACCAGAACACAGATGAGTCAGACCAAAAGAACCTGTGCAGAGCACAGGGTTTCTTTATTGGCTCCACAGCATGTCCGTTCTTAGCCACCGTCTTGGTCACTGGAATCCTGCGATTCCTTGAGGCTTCAGGTGGTCTGTGCCTCTTGGAGGGGGCCCATGCTTCCCAAAGGTCCAGCTCTAGTGTATGTCCCCAAAGTTGCTGGTAGTCATCCCGTCTGTTTGCTCCCCACCGCCCCCCCTCCCCCACCTAAAATCTTCCCTACTCCACGACCTCCGTGGCTTGGCCTCTGAAGCAAGGAGACCTGAAAGGGGCTCAGGGGAGATGGTGCCCCTTTCCTTCTTCTCCCTCTAAGCCCGAGGGCCTGGGGAGCCTGGCAGCATGTCCAGGAGTGCCTGGTAATCCTCCTCTCTGAGGGGTGCCTCCAGGATTGCCTCAACTCCTTCTTCGTCCGCAGCGGCCCGCGGTGAAGACCAGGGCGTGTCCTGGATGGACGAGGCAGCCATGATTTCCTCTAGGAGGCTGGGAGACCCGGGGAGGGCTGGATGGTACCCTGGGATGACAGGAGAGGACCCCAGGGAAGGACCCGGCGAGCCCGGGATGCATGTGACGGCCAGGAGCTCATCTTGGAGGCTGGGTGAGCCTGGGAGGGCGAGGTGTGCTCCTGCATCTGCATAGGGCCCCAGGGAAGGCGCCTGCGAGGCCGCAATATCCGTGGCCTCCAAGAGCTGGCCTAGAAAGCTGGGTGTGCCTGGCAGGGCAGGGTGTGCTCCTGCATCTGCAGCGGCCCCCGGGGAAGGCGCCTGCGAGGACCCGAGGCCCGTGGCCTCCAAGAGCTCGTCTAGGAAGCTGGGTGGGTCTGGCAGGGCAGGGTGCACTCCTGCATCTGCACCGGGCTCCGGGGAAGGCGCCTGAGAGTCCTCGATGCCCGTGGCATCCAAGAGCTCGTCTAGGAAGCTGGTTGCAACTGGCAGGGCAGGGTGCGCTCCTGCATCTGCAGCGGCCCCCGGGGAAGGTGCCTGCCAGTCTGCGATGCCCGTGGCTTCCAAGAGCTCGTCAAGGAAGCTGGGTGCGTCTGGCAGGGCAGGGTGCACTTCTGAATCTGCAGCAGCCCCCGGGGAAGGCGCCTGCATGTCCGGGATGCCTGTGGCCTCCACGAACTCTTCTAGGATGCTGGCTGTGCCTGGGAGGGCAGGGTGTGCTCCTGCATCCGCAGCAGCCCCCGGGGAAGGCGCCTGCCAGTCTGTGATGCCCATGGCCTCCAAGAGCTCGTCTAGGAAGCTGGGTGCGTCTGGCAGGGCAGGGTGCACTCGTGCATCTGCAGCGGCCCCCGGGCAAGGCGCCTGCATGTCCGGGATGCCCGTGGCCTCCACGAACTCTTCTAGGATGCTGGGTTCGCCTGGGAGGGCAGGGTGCACTCGTGCATCTGCAGCGTCCCCCGCGGAAGGCGCCTGCGTTTCCAGGATGCCTGTGGCCGCCAAGAGCTCATCTAGGAGGCTTGTCGATCTTGGAAGGCTGGGCGGATGGGGCTGTGGCTCTAGCAGAGGGGCCGTGCCTTCAGCAACGGGTGACTCTGGCCTCCGCCTGATGTGTGTCTCAGGCTGTAGAGGCGGCAGGATGGCCCCTGGCCCAGGCTGCCAAGGGGCCGTGTCAGCAGGGGAGCACGCGGCCCAGGGCACTGCTACCTGGGGAGGAGGTGGTGGCTTCTCACTTGGCTGGAGAGACATCGGGCTGGGCTGGATCACGAAGAACATCAACGGCTGGCCCACACAGACCCCAGAGGCAGTCCCGGGCACCCAGAAGGTGGGGGCGCCCAAAGGAGCGGCTGCAGCCAAGGGTGGCATGCTCTCCTGTGTCTGAGAGGGGCCAAGGGGAGGAGAGGTGCTGTGGACAGCGGGTGGGGCCCTTCGGTCCTCTGGAGCAGGAGCGGTCGTGGCCGATGCGCCGCCTGGTCCTCGGGCCCGGACATTGCCAGGCCCCCTTGCGCTCTGCTGGGGGTGCCGAGCTCTTCGGTTTTGAAACCATATCTAGGGGAGCAAAAGGCAGACAGGCACATCAGAAGCCGTGACCGTCCAGATCAACGTGCTGGCGCCTCCGCGGCACCCATTTGTCACCCCGCCTGGCGGCCCGTCCTCTGATCTGGCAGGCCCAGGGCGAGTTCTGCAGGGCCATTTTCTGCAAACGAATCCCTGGGCCCTGGGAGATGAGGAGCGCCTGCACGGCAACAAGTGGCACAAAACCCACCACTCAGCCCACCAACTTTCGGCCCCCTCCCCCCAGCCCAAGCCCCGGCCCAAGCCGACGTGTATCCAGCTCCAAACGCTTGGCAGGGCTGAACGCGCCCGTCTCCTGGGCCACGGCCTGGGCCCATGCGCTGGCTGGAGAACTTACCTGGATTCGAGGTTCTGGGATTCCCGTCTGACGAGCCAGTTCTTCCCTGGCGGCAATCCCTGGAAAGCGATCCCTCGTGAAGGCTTGCACAAGGATCCTTGTTTGAGAAGGAGAGATGGCTGTCCTCTTTCTCCTGGCCTCTCTGGCCGAGTCTTCTACCAAGGAAAGAACACACCGAGAGGAGAGGACTTTAAGGCCCATGGAACCTTGACAGCACAGATACCCTGGACGGTGTGCAGGGGCTAGACAGTCCCACACACCTGAATCACTTCAGGTGGCTCTGAAGCCGGGGCAGGGTTCTACGGAATACACCCACAGATGGATCTCGTGCCTGGATCCATGGTGCAGGTGTGCGTGCACACATGCACACTCGGCACACATGCATGCCCCTGTGTGTCTCTTTGTTCCTCCGGACTTGCCGCGGAGTGCCCTGAAGCCTGCTCCTTGGCCAAGGTTGCCTGGGCAGCCGGAGGCTAAAGTTCCCGACGGGGACTCGGGAGGGGGTGCAAAGGGGGAACAGTGCTGCCCGTCCACGCCGCCTGGGGGCATGGTGGCCCTATCTGGGTCACTGATGGGGGACGCAACCAGATGGCCCTGTTTCCTCCCTGCTTGGTGTTTCTGAGCCTCCGGTGGTCATCCACCAGCAGAGAGAATTCTCTGTCAAGAGGGGGAGGATTCGGGACCCCCCTCTGGGGGTCTTGCCTTTGCAGAACGCTGGGTAACTTACCTTGAGTGGAAGACTGAGGTCGACGAGGTGTCGACGGTGGCCTGGCCGTGGACCCTGGCGCCCCTTCCCCGTCTTGGCGCATATTTGCAGACGGCGATCGGCTCTGCTTTAACCGTCTTCTTCGTTGGTTCTGAAACCAGACCTAGGGGCAAACAGAGAGAATACGTTCTCAAGAGAAAGGCCTCCGGGTGCTTTCTGCTGACGCGGATCGGCACGGGGAGCCTGAGAGGGAGAACGGGTGGAGAGAGGGGGCCCTACCTGAACTCTGCTTTCGGCAATGCCAAGCTCTCGGGCCAGTCGTTCTCTGGTCGCTATCCCAGGGTAGGGGTTCTGTTGAAAGAGCGCTTGCAGGGTGTCCTTCTGGCTCAGCTTCAGAACGAGCCTCCTCCTTCGAGATCCTCTGGCGATGGGGCCTGTGGAAGAGACGAAAGGGAAAAGTCTCAGAGGACGTGGGGTTTGGAGAGGACTCGACGGAAGTGCCCAAGCATGCTCCCCACCCAGGGCAGTTGCCCCTGTGCCTCAGCAAAGCCGGGAGCCCGGGGACGCCTCTGCATTTGGAAGTCACTTGACTACACCCCGAGTGACAGGCCGAGAGTCAAGGGCAGTGGGGAAATCCCCCAACCCCCGACCCACGCTGGAGTCCGAGGAACACCAGCAAGCAGAAAGGAAGCCAAACCCGCCCCTGAAACAAAGCTGGCAAGAAATCCCACCCACCAAAGACCAGCACACCATGCAGCCTGTCTGCAGAGACATTTTTCCACCTGCCTCAGCAGATGCCTGGGAAATGTCTTGATGGGGCCTCTCCCAAAATTCCCTCCATCACAATGCCAATGGAGGGGAACCTGGCTTCTCGGGGCTAAGAGGAGCCCAGGCCATATTTGCCGTCACTAGGGGAACAGGAAAGGAAGAGGGAAGGAAGCCAAGGCGAAGCCCAACATGCAACGCCTGACGGAAGACAGAAGGCACTAGGCCATTGTGGACAGAAAGCCACTGAAGTTGGCAAAGCCACAGAGCTCCCCGACGTCCATTTCCATGGCAAGATGAGGAAATAGGGCCCCATGCCAGTTCCCCTACCGGCCCCCCTAACACACAACCAACACCATCATCACAGAAAAGAGAAAGGAGAAGCCATGTGTGTGCCAAAGGAGCCAAACGACCAAACGGTGCCTCTCTGGGCACACCTGACGCCTGGAAACCAGGGGCCCAGCCGATCGGTCCCTGGCTTTCTTGGCGGTCAGTCGACACGTTTGCAGTGAACCCTTGGCCGGGCTATCCACAGACCCACCCCCCACCCCCACCCCGAGACCTGATCCGACCCCAGGGAGCGAGGGCAAACGTACCGCCTGAGGTGCTGGAGGAGCTGGACGAAGCCATGGTGGGAGAGCCACAGGGACGCTGCAGACTGCCTTCTCAGTGGGCCAGGACCCAGCTGCTCGGGACTTTGGATAGGGTGAGGCAGCTCCGCCCCTATTCACGTCAATCGTGGTGGGTGCTTAGTCAGAGGGGACGCCCCTGGCCTCCAAGCAGAGACCCTGGAAAGAATCCCGTGGAGCCAGTGGGCTTTCACGGGCACGGCCCGCGACCCAGACTCCCAAGGTCCACGTTGGCCTGGGGGCGGTGGGCGTTGGGGGTTTTGGTGTGTGGCCCTGCCACGCAGCAGCTGGAATCAACCCCAGGCTCGGGGGCCCTCCGCAGTGCACAGAGTCCTAACTGCACGGGAATTCCCCTAGGTCCCTTTGAAGTTGCCGCCCACGCCCCCTTTCCCAGCCTGCCTTGCCTTCCGAAACGCCCTGGCTTTTCCCGCCTTTTCACATTCCACATATACGTTGGACTCAATGGCCTCCGCCGGCTCCTCCGGAGCATTCCCGGACACTGGACGCTCTCTCCAGTGCCTCCTCCTAGCTGCCTTAAATCCTTGCCTCCCTTTTCCACATTCCTCCCCACCTCCTCGGTGCCCCCCTGGCATCCTTTCCCGACAGCAGTCCCAGTCCACCGCCCTGCCCACACCCACCCCACGCCCACCCCCACCAAATACACCCAAGTCTTTGACTTGCCAGAAACCCAAGTCTACTGCGAGAGAAGTGATGGGCCAGTGTCTCGAATGGCAACTCACACCGTTTGGGGCTTTTTCAGGTGCACCCTGATGCTTGCACCTCCCCAGCCCACCCCCTACTCAAAGTGCCCTGGGGAGACCTCGGAAACGGGACACTGTACCCACTACTCTTAGGAAGGTGGTTCCACTAAGCCAAGGAAGGAAGCATGCACGTTCTGGACGGAGAGGCGCCCTGACCTGTGCCAACAACTGGACGTGGAAATAGTGTGTGCTTTCTTAAAGAAACGGAGGGCAGAGAGGAGAAGGAGGAGGGAATCAGGAGGCAGGAGCAGACACAGGAGGGAGGAGGTTGCATGAGGCCACACGGGGGATGGCTCTGAACAGGTTCCAATGAATTGAAAAGAAATGAACGAACCACAACACCACACCCACAGCCATCTTTCCCAATGGATTCTTTGGCCACGCAGGTCTCTAAAGCCAACCACGGGGGCTTCACATGGGAACAGTCAGGGGGTTGTATGTACATCGAATCCACCGTGTCTATGAATTCAGGAACGGGTTTGCAAGGAAATCATGCCTGTATGTCTGCGGGTGATGCGGGGATGCTGGTGGCAGGGCGAGCTGAGTCACTACACCGTGAGGATCAGAGAGACACACGGAGATGATTGGCCTTTGCAGCTCTACCAGGCATGTGTGTTGACATGGAGTCTGGTCGTGAAAGCGGTTGTGTGGGTAGGTCCCTACTGCTGGCTCAGAGGATCTGACCTCGGGAAACCCGCCCAGACCAGGCACCCCGAAACCGAGGGAAGCATGTCCCTGACGGAGTATTTTAGGGATACCTGCAGGGATGGCCAGTGGCTAGAAGCTGAGTCCCAGACGGGGGCCCCGCCCCCCTCCCCCAAACGCCCTCTCCCTCCCTCCGTCCCCAAATCTCTCTGTCTCCTTCTCTTCTCTTCCTCCCTCCCTCTCCCACTGAGCCTTCCCCAAGCCTCTCCCTTCTCCCCCACCCTCTCCCTCCATCCACTCGCCCCCTCCCACCTTGCGTTTCCCAGCCTTCTACCTTCCCACTGCTCTATCTCCCACTCCCACTCGCTCGGCTGCCCCTGGCCTAGGGAAGGAGTGCTCCTGTGTGGACTGCTGGAAAGACGCAACCAGAACACAGATGAGTCAGACCAAAAGAACCTGTGCAGAGCACAGGGTTTCTTTATTGGCTCCACAGCATGTCCGTTCTTAGCCACCGTCTTGGTCACTGGAATCCTGCGATTCCTTGAGGCTTCAGGTGGTCTGTGCCTCTTGGAGGGGGCCCATGCTTCCCAAAGGTCCAGCTCTAGTGTATGTCCCCAAAGTTGCTGGTAGTCATCCAGTCTGTTTGCTCCCCACCGCCCCCCCTCCCCCACCTAAAATCTTCCCTACTCCACGACCTCCGTGGCTTGGCCTCTGAAGCAAGGAGACCTGAAAGGGGCTCAGGGGAGATGGTGCCCCTTTCCTTCTTCTCCCTCTAAGCCCGAGGGCCTGGGGAGCCTGGCAGCATGTCCAGGAGTGCCTGGTAATCCTCCTCTCTGAGGGGTGCCTCCAGGATTGCCTCAACTCCTTCTTCGTCCGCAGCGGCCCGCGGTGAAGACCAGGGCGTGTCCTGGATGGACGAGGCAGCCATGATTTCCTCTAGGAGGCTGGGAGACCCGGGGAGGGCTGGATGGTACCCTGGGATGACAGGAGAGGACCCCAGGGAAGGACCCGGCGAGCCCGGGATGCATGTGACGGCCAGGAGCTCATCTTGGAGGCTGGGTGAGCCTGGGAGGGCGAGGTGTGCTCCTGCATCTGCATAGGGCCCCAGGGAAGGCGCCTGCGAGGCCGCAATATCCGTGGCCTCCAAGAGCTGGCCTAGAAAGCTGGGTGTGCCTGGCAGGGCAGGGTGTGCTCCTGCATCTGCAGCGGCCCCCGGGGAAGGCGCCTGCGAGGACCCGAGGCCCGTGGCCTCCAAGAGCTCGTCTAGGAAGCTGGGTGGGTCTGGCAGGGCAGGGTGCACTCCTGCATCTGCACCGGGCTCCGGGGAAGGCGCCTGAGAGTCCTCGATGCCCGTGGCATCCAAGAGCTCGTCTAGGAAGCTGGTTGCAACTGGCAGGGCAGGGTGCGCTCCTGCATCTGCAGCGGCCCCCGGGGAAGGTGCCTGCCAGTCTGCGATGCCCGTGGCTTCCAAGAGCTCGTCAAGGAAGCTGGGTGCGTCTGGCAGGGCAGGGTGCACTTCTGAATCTGCAGCAGCCCCCGGGGAAGGCGCCTGCGTGTCCGGGATGCCTGTGGCCTCCACGAACTCTTCTAGGATGCTGGCTGTGCCTGGGAGGGCAGGGTGTGCTCCTGCATCCGCAGCAGCCCCCGGGGAAGGCGCCTGCCAGTCTGTGATGCCCATGGCCTCCAAGAGCTCGTCTAGGAAGCTGGGTGCGTCTGGCAGGGCAGGGTGCACTCGTGCATCTGCAGCGGCCCCCGGGCAAGGCGCCTGCATGTCCGGGATGCCCGTGGCCTCCACGAACTCTTCTAGGATGCTGGGTTCGCCTGGGAGGGCAGGGTGCACTCGTGCATCTGCAGCGTCCCCCGCGGAAGGCGCCTGCGTTTCCAGGATGCCTGTGGCCGCCAAGAGCTCATCTAGGAGGCTTGTCGATCTTGGAAGGCTGGGCGGATGGGGCTGTGGCTCTAGCAGAGGGGCCGTGCCTTCAGCAACGGGTGACTCTGGCCTCCGCCTGATGTGTGTCTCAGGCTGTAGAGGCGGCAGGATGGCCCCTGGCCCAGGCTGCCAAGGGGCCGTGTCAGCAGGGGAGCACGCGGCCCAGGGCACTGCTACCTGGGGAGGAGGTGGTGGCTTCTCACTTGGCTGGAGAGCCATCGGGCTGGGCTGGATCACGAAGAACATCAACGGCTGGCCCACACAGACCCCAGAGGCAGTCCCGGGCACCCAGAAGGTGGGGGCGCCCAAAGGAGCGGCTGCAGCCAAGGGTGGCATGCTCTCCTGTGTCTGAGAGGGGCCAAGGGGAGGAGAGGTGCTGTGGACAGCGGGTGGGGCCCTTCGGTCCTCTGGAGCAGGAGCGGTCGTGGCCGATGCGCCGCCTGGTCCTCGGGCCCGGACATTGCCAGGCCCCCTTGCGCTCTGCTGGGGGTGCCGAGCTCTTCGGTTTTGAAACCATATCTAGGGGAGCAAAAGGCAGACAGGCACATCAGAAGCCGTGACCGTCCAGATCAACGTGCTGGCGCCTCCGCGGCACCCATTTGTCACCCCGCCTGGCGGCCCGTCCTCTGATCTGGCAGGCCCAGGGCGAGTTCTGCAGGGCCATTTTCTGCAAACGAATCCCTGGGCCCTGGGAGATGAGGAGCGCCTGCACGGCAACAAGCGGCACAAAACCCACCACTCAGCCCACCAACTTTCGGCCCCCTCCCCCCAGCCCAAGCCCCGGCCCAAGCCGACGTGTATCCAGCTCCAAACGCTTGGCAGGGCTGAACGCGCCCGTCTCCTGGGCCACGGCCTGGGCCCATGCGCTGGCTGGAGAACTTACCTGGATTCGAGGTTCTGGGATTCCCGTCTGACGAGCCAGTTCTTCCCTGGCGGCAATCCCTGGAAAGCGATCCCTCGTGAAGGCTTGCACAAGGATCCTTGTTTGAGAAGGAGAGATGGCTGTCCTCTTTCTCCTGGCCTCTCTGGCCGAGTCTTCTACCAAGGAAAGAACACACCGAGAGGAGAGGACTTTAAGGCCCATGGAACCTTGACAGCACAGATACCCTAGACGGTGTGCAGGGGCTGGACAGTCCCACACACCTGAATCACTTCAGGTGGCTCTGAAGCCGGGGCAGGGTTCTACGGAATACACCCACAGATGGATCTCGTGCCTGGATCCATGGTGCAGGTGTGCGTGCACACATGCACACTCGGCACACATGCATGCCCCTGTGTGTCTCTTTGTTCCTCCGGACATGCCGCGGAGTGCCCTGAAGCCTGCTCCTTGGCCAAGGTTGCCTGGGCAGCCGGAGGCTAAAGTTCCCGACGGGGACTCGGGAGGGGGTGCAAAGGGGGAACAGTGCTGCCCGTCCACGCCGCCTGGGGGCATGGTGGGCCTATCTGGGTCGCTGATGGGGGACGCAACCAGATGGCCCTGTTTCCTCCCTGCTTGGTGTTTCTGAGCCTCCGGTGGTCATCCACCAGCAGAGAGAATTCTCTGTCAAGAGGGGGAGGATTCGGGACCCCCCTCTGGGGGTCTTGCCTTTGCAGAACGCTGGGTAACTTACCTTGAGTGGAAGACTGAGGTCGACGAGGTGTCGACGGTGGCCTGGCCGTGGACCCTGGCGCCCCTTCCCCGTCTTGGCGCATATTTGCAGACGGCGATCGGCTCTGCTTTAACCGTCTTCTTCGTTGGTTCTGAAACCAGACCTAGGGGCAAACAGAGAGAATACGTTCTCAAGAGAAAGGCCTCCGGGTGCTTTCTGCTGACGCGGATCGGCACGGGGAGCCTGAGAGGGAGAACGGGTGGAGAGAGGGGGCCCTACCTGAACTCTGCTTTCGGCAATGCCAAGCTCTCGGGCCAGTCGTTCTCTGGTCGCTATCCCAGGGTAGGGGTTCTGTTGAAAGAGCGCTTGCAGGGTGTCCTTCTGGCTCAGCTTCAGAACGAGCCTCCTCCTTCGAGATCCTCTGGCGATGGGGCCTGTGGAAGAGACGAAAGGGAAAAGTCTCAGAGGACGTGGGGTTTGGAGAGGACTCGACGGAAGTGCCCAAGCATGCTCCCCACCCAGGGCAGTTGCCCCTGTGCCTCAGCAAAGCCGGGAGCCCGGGGACGCCTCTGCATTTGGAAGTCACTTGACTACACCCCGAGTGACAGGCCGAGAGTCAAGGGCAGTGGGGAAATCCCCCAACCCCCGACCCACGCTGGAGTCCGAGGAACACCAGCAAGCAGAAAGGAAGCCAAACCCGCCCCTGAAACAAAGCTGGCAAGAAATCCCACCCACCAAAGACCAGCACACCATGCAGCCTGTCTGCAGAGACATTTTTCCACCTGCCTCAGCAGATGCCTGGGAAATGTCTTGATGGGGCCTCTCCCAAAATTCCCTCCATCACAATGCCAATGGAGGGGAACCTGGCTTCTCGGGGCTAAGAGGAGCCCAGGCCATATTTGCCGTCACTAGGGGAACAGGAAAGGAAGAGGGAAGGAAGCCAAGGCGAAGCCCAACATGCAACGCCTGACGGAAGACAGAAGGCACTAGGCCATTGTGGACAGAAAGCCACTGAAGTTGGCAAAGCCACAGAGCTCCCCGACGTCCATTTCCATGGCAAGATGAGGAAATAGGGCCCCATGCCAGTTCCCCTACCGGCCCCCCTAACACACAACCAACACCATCATCACAGAAAAGAGAAAGGAGAAGCCATGTGTGTGCCAAAGGAGCCAAACGACCAAACGGTGCCTCTCTGGGCACACCTGACGCCTGGAAACCAGGGGCCCAGCCGATCGGTCCCTGGCTTTCTTGGCGGTCAGTCGACACGTTTGCAGTGAACCCTTGGCCGGGCTATCCACAGACCCACCCCCCACCCCCACCCCGAGACCTGATCCGACCCCAGGGAGCGAGGGCAAACGTACCGCCTGAGGTGCTGGAGGAGCTGGACGAAGCCATGGTGGGAGAGCCACAGGGACGCTGCAGACTGCCTTCTCAGTGGGCCAGGACCCAGCTGCTCGGGACTTTGGATAGGGTGAGGCAGCTCTGCCCCTATTGACGTCAATCCTTGTGGGTGCATAGTCAGAAGGGACGCCCCTGGCCGCCAAGCAGAGACCCTGGAAAGAATCCCGTGGAGCCAGTGGGCTTTCACGGGCACGGCCCGCGACCCAGACTCCCAAGGTCCACGTTGGCCTGGGGGCGGTGGGCGTTGGGGGTTTTGGTGTGTGGCCCTGCCACGCAGCAGCTGGAATCAACCCCAGGCTCGGGGGCCCTCCGCAGTGCACAGAGTCCTAACTGCACGGGAATTCCCCTAGGTCCCTTTGAAGTTGCCGCCCACGCCCCCTTTCCCAGCCTGCCTTGCCTTCCGAAACGCCCTGGCTTTTCCCGCCTTTTCACATTCCACATATACGTTGGACTCAATGGCCTCCGCCGGCTCCTCCGGAGCATTCCCGGACACTGGACGCTCTCTCCAGTGCCTCCTCCTAGCTGCCTTAAATCCTTGCCTCCCTTTTCCACATTCCTCCCCACCTCCTCGGTGCCCCCCTGGCATCCTTTCCCGACAGCAGTCCCAGTCCACCGCCCTGCCCACACCCACCCCACGCCCACCCCCACCAAATACACCCAAGTCTTTGACTTGCCAGAAACCCAAGTCTACTGCGAGAGATGTGATGGGCCAGTGTCTCGAATGGCAACTCACACCGTTTGGGGCTTTTTCAGGTGCACCCTGATGCTTGCACCTCCCCAGCCCACCCCCTACACAAAGTGCCCTGGGGAGACCTCGGAAACGGGACACTGTACCCACTACTCTTAGGAACGTGGTTCCACTAAGCCAAGGAAGGAAGCATGCACGTTCTGGACGGAGAGGCGCCCTGACTTGTGCCAACAACTGGACGTGGAAATAGTGTGTGCTTTCTTAAAGAAACGGAGGGCAGAGAGGAGAAGGAGGAGGGAATCAGGAGGCAGGAGCAGACACAGGAGGGAGGAGGTTGCATGAGGCCACACGGGGGATGGCTCTGAACAGGTTCCAATGAATTGAAAAGAAATGAACGAACCACAACACCACACCCACAGCCATCTTTCCCAATGGATTCTTTGGCCACGCAGGTCTCTAAAGCCAACCACGGGGGCTTCACATGGGAACAGTCAGGGGGTTGTATGTACATCGAATCCACCGTGTCTATGAATTCAGGAACGGGTTTGCAAGGAAATCATGCCTGTATGTCTGCAGGTGATGCGGGGATGCTGGTGGCAGGGCGAGATGAGTCACTACACCGTGAGGATCAGAGAGACACACGGAGATGATTGGCCTTTGCAGCTCTACCAGGCATGTGTGTTGACATGGAGTCTGGTCGTGAAAGCGGTTGTGTGGGTAGGTCCCTACTGCTGGCTCAGAGGATCTGACCTCGGGAAACCCGCCCAGACCAGGCACCCCGAAACCGAGGGAAGCATGTCCCTGACGGAGTATTTTAGGGATACCTGCAGAGATGGCCAGTGGCTAGAAGCTGAGTCCCAGACGGGGGCCCCGCCCCCCTCCCCCAAACGCCCTCTCCCTCCCTCCGTCCCCAAATCTCTCTGTCTCCTTCTCTTCTCTTCCTCCCTCCCTCTCCCACTGAGCCTTCCCCAAGCCTCTCCCTTCTTCCCCACCCTCTCCATCCATCCACTCGCCCCCTCCCACCTTGCATTTCCCAGCCTTCTACCTTCCCACTGCTCTATCTCCCACTCCCACTCGCTCGGCTGCCCCTGGCCTAGGGAAGGAGTGCTCCTGTGTGGACTGTTGGAAAGACGCAACCAGAACACACATGAGTCAGACCAAAAGAACCTGTGCAGAGCACAGGGTTTCTTTATTGGCTCCACAGCATGTCCGTTCTTAGCCACCTTCTTGCTCACTGGAATCCTGCGATTCCTTGAGGCTTCAGGTGGTCTGTGCCTCTTGGAGGGGGCCCATGCTTCCCAAAGGTCCAGCTCTAGTGTATGTCCCCAAAGTTGCTGGTAGTCATCCCGTCTGTTTGCTCCCCACCGCCGCCCCCCCACCTAAAATCTTCCCTACTCCACGACCTCCGTGGCTTGGCCTCTGAAGCAAGGAGACCTGAAAGGGGCTCAGGGGAGATGGTGCCCCTTTCCTTCTTCTCCCTCTAAGTCCGAGGGCCTGGGGAGCCTGGCAGCATGTCCAGGAGTGCCTGGTAATCCTCCTCTCTGAGGGGTGCCTCCAGGATTGCCTCAACTCCTTCTTCGTCCGCAGCGGCCCGCGGTGAAGACCAGGGCGTGTCCTGGATGGACGAGGCAGCCATGATTTCCTCTAGGAGGCTGGGAGACCCGGGGAGGGCTGGATGGTACCCTGGGATGACAGGAGAGGACCCCAGGGAAGGACCCGGCGAGCCCGGGATGCATGTGACGGCCAGGAGCTCATCTTGGAGGCTGGGTGAGCCTGGGAGGGCGAGGTGTGCTCCTGCATCTGCATAGGGCCCCAGGGAAGGCGCCTGCGAGGCCGCAATATCCGTGGCCTCCAAGAGCTGGCCTAGAAAGCTGGGTGTGCCTGGCAGGGCAGGGTGTGCTCCTGCATCTGCAGCGGCCCCCGGGGAAGGCGCCTGCGAGGACCCGAGGCCCGTGGCCTCCAAGAGCTCGTCTAGGAAGCTGGGTGGGTCTGGCAGGGCAGGGTGCACTCCTGCATCTGCACCGGGCTCCGGGGAAGGCGCCTGAGAGTCCTCGATGCCCGTGGCATCCAAGAGCTCGTCTAGGAAGCTGGTTGCAACTGGCAGGGCAGGGTGCGCTCCTGCATCTGCAGCGGCCCCCGGGGAAGGTGCCTGCCAGTCTGCGATGCCCGTGGCTTCCAAGAGCTCGTCAAGGAAGCTGGGTGCGTCTGGCAGGGCAGGGTGCACTTCTGAATCTGCAGCAGCCCCCGGGGAAGGCGCCTGCGTGTCCGGGATGCCTGTGGCCTCCACGAACTCTTCTAGGATGCTGGCTGTGCCTGGGAGGGCAGGGTGTGCTCCTGCATCCGCAGCAGCCCCCGGGGAAGGCGCCTGCCAGTCTGTGATGCCCATGGCCTCCAAGAGCTCGTCTAGGAAGCTGGGTGCGTCTGGCAGGGCAGGGTGCACTCGTGCATCTGCAGCGGCCCCCGGGCAAGGCGCCTGCATGTCCGGGATGCCCGTGGCCTCCACGAACTCTTCTAGGATGCTGGGTTCGCCTGGGAGGGCAGGGTGCACTCGTGCATCTGCAGCGTCCCCCGCGGAAGGCGCCTGCGTTTCCAGGATGCCGGTGGCCGCCAAGAGCTCATCTAGGAGGCTTGTCGATCTTGGAAGGCTGGGCGGATGGGGCTGTGGCTCTAGCAGAGGGGCCGTGCCTTCAGCAACGGGTGACTCTGGCCTCCGCCTGATGTGTGTCTCAGGCTGTAGAGGCGGCAGGATGGCCCCTGGCCCAGGCTGCCAAGGGGCCGTGTCAGCAGGGGAGCACGCGGCCCAGGGCACTGCTACCTGGGGAGGAGGTGGTGGCTTCTCACTTGGCTGGAGAGCCATCGGGCTGGGCTGGATCACGAAGAACATCAACGGCTGGCCCACACAGACCCCAGAGGCAGTCCCGGGCACCCAGAAGGTGGGGGCGCCCAAAGGAGCGGCTGCAGCCAAGGGTGGCATGCTCTCCTGTGTCTGAGAGGGGCCAAGGGGAGGAGAGGTGCTGTGGACAGCGGGTGGGGCCCTTCGGTCCCCTGGAGCAGGAGCGGTCGTGGCCGATGCGCCGCCTGGTCCTCGGGCCCGGACATTGCCAGGCCCCCTTGCTCTCTGCTGGGGGTGCCGAGCTCTTCGGTTTTGAAACCATATCTAGGGGAGCAAAAGGCAGACAGGCACATCAGAAGCCGTGACCGTCCAGATCAACGTGCTGGCGCCTCCGCGGCACCCATTTGTCACCCCGCCTGGCGGCCCGTCCTCTGATCTGGCAGACCCAGGGCGAGTTCTGCAGGGCCATTTTCTGCAAACGAATCCCTGGGCCCTGGGAGATGAGGAGCGCCTGCACGGCAACAAGTGGCACAAAACCCACCACTAAGCCCACCAACTTTCGGCCCCCTCCCCCCAGCCCAAGCCCCGGCCCAAGCCGACGTGTATCCAGCTCCAAACGCTTGGCAGGGCTGAACGCGCCCGTCTCCTGGGCCACGGCCTGGGCCCATGCGCTGGCTGGAGAACTTACCTGGATTCGAGGTTCTGGGATTCCCGTCTGACGAGCCAGTTCTTCCCTGGCGGCAATCCCTGGAAAGCGATCCCTCGTGAAGGCTTGCACAAGGATCCTTGTTTGAGAAGGAGAGATGGCTGTCCTCTTTCTCCTGGCCTCTCTGGCCGAGTCTTCTACCAAGGAAAGAACACACCGAGAGGAGAGGACTTTAAGGCCCATGGAACCTTGACAGCACAGATACCCTGGACGGTGTGCAGGGGCTGGACAGTCCCACACACCTGAATCACTTCAGGTGGCTCTGAAGCCGGGGCAGGGTTCTACGGAATACACCCACAGATGGATCTCGTGCCTGGATCCATGGTGCAGGTGTGCGTGCACACATGCACACTCGGCACACATGCATGCCCCTGTGTGTCTCTTTGTTCCTCCGGACTTGCCGCGGAGTGCCCTGAAGCCTGCTCCTTGGCCAAGGTTGCCTGGGCAGCCGGAGGCTAAAGTTCCCGACGGGGACTCGGGAGGGGGTGCAAAGGGGGAACAGTGCTGCCCGTCCACGCCGCCTGGGGGCATGGTGGCCCTATCTGGGTCGCTGATGGGGGACGCAACCAGATGGCCCTGTTTCCTCCCTGCTTGGTGTTTCTGAGCCTCCGGTGGTCATCCACCAGCAGAGAGAATTCTCTGTCAAGAGGGGGAGGATTCGGGACCCCCCTCTGGGGGTCTTGCCTTTGCAGAACGCTGGGTAACTTACCTTGAGTGGAAGACTGAGGTCGACGAGGTGTCGACGGTGGCCTGGCCGTGGACCCTGGCGCCCCTTCCCCGTCTTGGCGCATATTTGCAGACGGCGATCGGCTCTGCTTTAACCGTCTTCTTCGTTGGTTCTGAAACCAGACCTAGGGGCAAACAGAGAGAATACGTTCTCAAGAGAAAGGCCTCCGGGTGCTTACTGCTGACGCGGATCGGCACGGGGAGCCTGAGAGGGAGAACGGGTGGAGAGAGGGGGCCCTACCTGAACTCTGCTTTCGGCAATGCCAAGCTCTCGGGCCAGTCGTTCTCTGGTCGCTATCCCAGGGTAGGGGTTCTGTTGAAAGAGCGCTTGCAGGGTGTCCTTCTGGCTCAGCTTCAGAACGAGCCTCCTCCTTCGAGATCCTCTGGCGATGGGGCCTGTGGAAGAGACGAAAGGGAAAAGTCTCAGAGGACGTGGGGTTTGGAGAGGACTCGACGGAAGTGCCCAACCATGCTCCCCACCCAGGGCAGTTGCCCCTGTGCCTCAGCAAAGCCGGGAGCCCGGGGACGCCTCTGCATTTGGAAGTCACTTGACTACACCCCGAGTGACAGGCCGAGAGTCAAGGGCAGTGGGGAAATCCCCCAACCCCCGACCCACGCTGGAGTCTGAGGAACACCAGCAAGCAGAAAGGAAGCCAAACCCGCCCCTGAAACAAAGCTGGCAAGAAATCCCACCCACCAGAGACCAGCACACCATGCAGCCTGTCTGCAGAGACATTTTTCCACCTGCCTCAGCAGATGCCTGGGAAATGTCTTGATGGGGCCTCTCCCAAAATTCCCTCCATCACAATGCCAATGGAGGGGAACCTGGCTTCTCGGGGCTAAGAGGAGCCCAGGCCATATTTGCCGTCACTAGGGGAACAGGAAAGGAAGAGGGAAGGAAGCCAAGGCGAAGCCCAACATGCAACGCCTGACGGAAGACAGAAGGCACTAGGCCATTGTGGACAGAAAGCCACTGAGGTTGGCAAAGCCACAGAGCTCCCCGACGTCCATTTCCATGGCAAGATGAGGAAATAGGGCCCCATGCCAGTTCCCCTACCGGCCCCCCTAACACACAACCAACACCATCATCACAGAAAAGAGAAAGGAGAAGCCATGTGTGTGCCAAAGGAGCCAAACGACCAAACGGTGCCTCTCTGGGCACACCTGACGCCTGGAAACCAGGGGCCCAGCCGATCGGTCCCTGGCTTTCTTGGCGGTCAGTCGACACGTTTGCAGTGAACCCTTGGCCGGGCTATCCACAGACCCACCCCCCACCCCCACCCCGAGACCTGATCCGACCCCAGGGAGCGAGGGCAAACGTACCGCCTGAGGTGCTGGAGGAGCTGGACGAAGCCATGGTGGGAGAGCCACAGGGACGCTGCAGACTGCCTTCTCAGTGGGCCAGGACCCAGCTGCTCGGGACTTTGGATAGGGTGAGGCAGCTCCGCCCCTATTCACGTCAATCGTGGTGGGTGCTTAGTCAGAGGGGACGCCCCTGGCCTCCAAGCAGAGACCCTGGAAAGAATCCCGTGGAGCCAGTGGGCTTTCACGGGCACGGCCCACGACCCAGACTCCCAAGGTCCACGTTGGCCTGGGGGCGGTGGGCGTTGGGGGTTTTGGTGTGTGGCCCTGCCACGCAGCAGCTGGAATCAACCCCAGGCTCGGGGGCCCTCCGCAGTGCACAGAGTCCTAACTGCACGGGAATTCCCCTAGGTCCCTTTGAAGTTGCCGCCCACGCCCCCTTTCCCAGCCTGCCTTGCCTTCCGAAACGCCCTGGCTTTTCCCGCCTTTTCACATTCCACATATACGTTGGACTCAATGGCCTCCGCCGGCTCCTCCGGAGCATTCCCGGACACTGGACGCTCTCTCCAGTGCCTCCTCCTAGCTGCCTTAAATCCTTGCCTCCCTTTTCCACATTCCTCCCCACCTCCTCGGTGCCCCCCTGGCATCCTTTCCCGACAGCAGTCCCAGTCCACCGCCCTGCCCACACCCACCCCACGCCCACCCCCACCAAATACACCCAAGTCTTTGACTTGCCAGAAACCCAAGTCTACTGCGAGAGAAGTGATGGGCCAGTGTCTCGAATGGCAACTCACACCGTTTGGGGCTTTTTCAGGTGCACCCTGATGCTTGCACCTCCCCAGCCCACCCCCTACTCAAAGTGCCCTGGGGAGACCTCGGAAACGGGACACTGTACCCACTACTCTTAGGAAGGTGGTTCCACTAAGCCAAGGAAGGAAGCATGCATGTTCTGGACGGAGAGGCGCCCTGACCTGTGCCAACAACTGGACGTGGAAATAGTGTGTGCTTTCTTAAAGAAACGGAGGGCAGAGAGGAGAAGGAGGAGGGAATCAGGAGGCAGGAGCAGACACAGGAGGGAGGAGGTTGCATGAGGCCACACGGGGGATGGCTCTGAACAGGTTCCAATGAATTGAAAAGAAATGAACGAACCACAACACCACACCCACAGCCATCTTTCCCAATGGATTCTTTGGCCACGCAGGTCTCTAAAGCCAACCACGGGGGCTTCACATGGGAACAGTCAGGGGGTTGTATGTACATCGAATCCACCGTGTCTATGAATTCAGGAACGGGTTTGCAAGGAAATCATGCCTGTATGTCTGCGGGTGATGCGGGGATGCTGGTGGCAGGGCGAGCTGAGTCACTACACCGTGAGGATCAGAGAGACACACGGAGATGATTGGCCTTTGCAGCTCTACCAGGCATGTGTGTTGACATGGAGTCTGGTCGTGAAAGCGGTTGTGTGGGTAGGTCCCTACTGCTGGCTCAGAGGATCTGACCTCGGGAAACCCGCCCAGACCAGGCACCCCGAAACCGAGGGAAGCATGTCCCTGACGGAGTATTTTAGGGATACCTGCAGGGATGGCCAGTGGCTAGAAGCTGAGTCCCAGACGGGGGCCCCGCCCCCCTCCCCCAAACGCCCTCTCCCTCCCTCCGTCCCCAAATCTCTCTGTCTCCTTCTCTTCTCTTCCTCCCTCCCTCTCCCACTGAGCCTTCCCCAAGCCTCTCCCTTCTCCCCCACCCTCTCCCTCCATCCACTCGCCCCCTCCCACCTTGCGTTTCCCAGCCTTCTACCTTCCCACTGCTCTATCTCCCACTCCCACTCGCTCGGCTGCCCCTGGCCTAGGGAAGGAGTGCTCCTGTGTGGACTGCTGGAAAGACGCAACCAGAACACAGATGAGTCAGACCAAAAGAACCTGTGCAGAGCACAGGGTTTCTTTATTGGCTCCACAGCATGTCCGTTCTTAGCCACCGTCTTGGTCACTGGAATCCTGCGATTCCTTGAGGCTTCAGGTGGTCTGTGCCTCTTGGAGGGGGCCCATGCTTCCCAAAGGTCCAGCTCTAGTGTATGTCCCCAAAGTTGCTGGTAGTCATCCCGTCTGTTTGCTCCCCACCGCCCCCCCTCCCCCACCTAAAATCTTCCCTACTCCACGACCTCCGTGGCTTGGCCTCTGAAGCAAGGAGACCTGAAAGGGGCTCAGGGGAGATGGTGCCCCTTTCCTTCTTCTCCCTCTAAGCCCGAGGGCCTGGGGAGCCTGGCAGCATGTCCAGGAGTGCCTGGTAATCCTCCTCTCTGAGGGGTGCCTCCAGGATTGCCTCAACTCCTTCTTCGTCCGCAGCGGCCCGCGGTGAAGACCAGGGCGTGTCCTGGATGGACGAGGCAGCCATGATTTCCTCTAGGAGGCTGGGAGACCCGGGGAGGGCTGGATGGTACCCTGGGATGACAGGAGAGGACCCCAGGGAAGGACCCGGCGAGCCCGGGATGCATGTGACGGCCAGGAGCTCATCTTGGAGGCTGGGTGAGCCTGGGAGGGCGAGGTGTGCTCCTGCATCTGCATAGGGCCCCAGGGAAGGCGCCTGCGAGGCCGCAATATCCGTGGCCTCCAAGAGCTGGCCTAGAAAGCTGGGTGTGCCTGGCAGGGCAGGGTGTGCTCCTGCATCTGCAGCGGCCCCCGGGGAAGGCGCCTGCGAGGACCCGAGGCCCGTGGCCTCCAAGAGCTCGTCTAGGAAGCTGGGTGGGTCTGGCAGGGCAGGGTGCACTCCTGCATCTGCACCGGGCTCCGGGGAAGGCGCCTGAGAGTCCTCGATGCCCGTGGCATCCAAGAGCTCGTCTAGGAAGCTGGTTGCAACTGGCAGGGCAGGGTGCGCTCCTGCATCTGCAGCGGCCCCCGGGGAAGGTGCCTGCCAGTCTGCGATGCCCGTGGCTTCCAAGAGCTCGTCAAGGAAGCTGGGTGCGTCTGGCAGGGCAGGGTGCACTTCTGAATCTGCAGCAGCCCCCGGGGAAGGCGCCTGCGTGTCCGGGATGCCTGTGGCCTCCACGAACTCTTCTAGGATGCTGGCTGTGCCTGGGAGGGCAGGGTGTGCTCCTGCATCCGCAGCAGCCCCGGGGGAAGGCGCCTGCCAGTCTGTGATGCCCATGGCCTCCAAGAGCTCGTCTAGGAAGCTGGGTGCGTCTGGCAGGGCAGGGTGCACTCGTGCATCTGCAGCGGCCCCCGGGCAAGGCGCCTGCATGTCCGGGATGCCCGTGGCCTCCACGAACTCTTCTAGGATGCTGGGTTCGCCTGGGAGGGCAGGGTGCACTCGTGCATCTGCAGCGTCCCCCGCGGAAGGCGCCTGCGTTTCCAGGATGCCGGTGGCCGCCAAGAGCTCATCTAGGAGGCTTGTCGATCTTGGAAGGCTGGGCGGATGGGGCTGTGGCTCTAGCAGAGGGGCCGTGCCTTCAGCAACGGGTGACTCTGGCCTCCGCCTGATGTGTGTCTCAGGCTGTAGAGGCGGCAGGATGGCCCCTGGCCCAGGCTGCCAAGGGGCCGTGTCAGCAGGGGAGCACGCGGCCCAGGGCACTGCTACCTGGGGAGGAGGTGGTGGCTTCTCACTTGGCTGGAGAGACATCGGGCTGGGCTGGATCACGAAGAACATCAACGGCTGGCCCACACAGACCCCAGAGGCAGTCCCGGGCACCCAGAAGGTGGGGGCGCCCAAAGGAGCGGCTGCAGCCAAGGGTGGCATGCTCTCCTGTGTCTGAGAGGGGCCAAGGGGAGGAGAGGTGCTGTGGACAGCGGGTGGGGCCCTTCGGTCCTCTGGAGCAGGAGCGGTCGTGGCCGATGCGCCGCCTGGTCCTCGGGCCCGGACATTGCCAGGCCCCCTTGCGCTCTGCTGGGGGTGCCGAGCTCTTCGGTTTTGAAACCATATCTAGGGGAGCAAAAGGCAGACAGGCACATCAGAAGCCGTGACCGTCCAGATCAACGTGCTGGCGCCTCCGCGGCACCCATTTGTCACCCCGCCTGGCGGCCCGTCCTCTGATCTGGCAGGCCCAGGGCGAGTTCTGCAGGGCCATTTTCTGCAAACGAATCCCTGGGCCCTGGGAGATGAGGGGCGCCTGCACGGCAACAAGCGGCACAAAACCCACCACTCAGCCCACCAACTTTCGGCCCCCTCCCCCCAGCCCAAGCCCCGGCCCAAGCCGACGTGTATCCAGCTCCAAACGCTTGGCAGGGCTGAACGCGCCCGTCTCCTGGGCCACGGCCTGGGCCCATGCGCTGGCTGGAGAACTTACCTGGATTCGAGGTTCTGGGATTCCCGTCTGACGAGCCAGTTCTTCCCTGGCGGCAATCCCTGGAAAGCGATCCCTCGTGAAGGCTTGCACAAGGATCCTTGTTTGAGAAGGAGAGATGGCTGTCCTCTTTCTCCTGGCCTCTCTGGCCGAGTCTTCTACCAAGGAAAGAACACACCGAGAGGAGAGGACTTTAAGGCCCATGGAACCTTGACAGCACAGATACCCTAGACGGTGTGCAGGGGCTGGACAGTCCCACACACCTGAATCACTTCAGGTGGCTCTGAAGCCGGGGCAGGGTTCTACGGAATACACCCACAGATGGATCTCGTGCCTGGATCCATGGTGCAGGTGTGCGTGCACACATGCACACTCGGCACACATGCATGCCCCTGTGTGTCTCTTTGTTCCTCCGGACTTGCCGCGGAGTGCCCTGAAGCCTGCTCCTTGGCCAAGGTTGCCTGGGCAGCCGGAGGCTAAAGTTCCCGACGGGGACTCGGGAGGGGGTGCAAAGGGGGAACAGTGCTGCCCGTCCACGCCGCCTGGGGGCATGGTGGCCCTATCTGGGTCACTGATGGGGGACGCAACCAGATGGCCCTGTTTCCTCCCTGCTTGGTGTTTCTGAGCCTCCGGTGGTCATCCACCAGCAGAGAGAATTCTCTGTCAAGAGGGGGAGGATTCGGGACCCCCCTCTGGGGGTCTTGCCTTTGCAGAACGCTGGGTAACTTACCTTGAGTGGAAGACTGAGGTCGACGAGGTGTCGACGGTGGCCTGGCCGTGGACCC